ATTTCATAAGATGATCATATATCCTTAAAATATATGAGTATATCATTTCACTAATTTATTTTTTAAAAATTATACGACTCATACATCAGGAGATGTCTTGTGCCGACAACACATTATAAATTGATCAGAATCAAGCTCTCTTCTCATTCATATGTGATGTATATATACAAGGGGAAATAAGGATATCACTTATGTAACAGAGATTGGAAAGATCATTTTGAGTTCTAAAACTAGTGCTCCGACTTCATTTACAATGTATTAAGTAAAAGATACATATGAACCTAAAATTGACAAACCTTGTTAATTCCACTCCAAACTCGAGTATTATTTGATATGATCATATCTTACTGTATTTCGTTCCATTTAAAGCGTTTTCTATTTCATTGCCAAAATTTATAAATTGACTTGTCTAGTGTGGTAACATATTCGGCGCCCTAATCAGCGGCATATTAGTGTTTAATTATCTAACAATTTGATCACTCATGTCCAGGGGTGGTGCCAGAGGTTTATCAAAGGGGTGCCATACCAAAATTACAAATTATTGTGCGTACTTTCTCAATATAATAAATAACAACAAAAGCGTAAACAATAGCACACATTATAGTTCATTACATTTCATTATATACCATTTCGCTCATTACTACAATATGGGTAAATCAGCCCTATGAGTTTTTATATGTTGAAAATACTGCATAATAACTTCATTATCATCTATTTGAAAAAATATAATTTTCGATATAGCAAACTAAGAAATCCGTCAGAAAGTCGTTGATGATCTTGTTGCAAAGATATGTCTGGATAATATTAATTGCAGATAAAGCTCTCTCAGTTGTGACTATTGCAACTAATAACACTAAAATGAACTCAATGAGATTATATACCAAATGAAAAGATTTGTGAATTCTAAGCGGAGCCATCTTTTTAGAAACTTCACCAATATTGTACAAGATAGAAAATGCTTCATCTTCTCTCATCTCATATATCCAAATTTGAATTTCTCTTTAAGCTCCATTTTGCTCAATAATTGAAAAATCGCATGAGTATAACTCCGTGAGACGGAATAGCTTTAGTGTTGCATAATCTTTCACCGCGTATGTCACATCAATATTATGTGCACTATATCAATCTAATGATTCGAAGAAATGTCTTCTATTTAATGAGCTTTATCGCTCCTTATGATCACAAAAGTCAACCCTAATACAATTAAAAATCTAACACAATCTACACTTCATTCAAATGAGTGTGGTACCCTACAACCAACACTTGTATTTCTGAAGACACACTTCTTAAAAGACTTTGCCCTTGATTTTTGTTAAAATTATCTATAACAACCTCTATTCCATGTGGTTTTTTTGAACCTAGTCGAGGTGTATAATACATCATTTTATTAAAGAAGGTGCCCCCCTCTCTCCTGTATGATAAATACAAAGTAAACTATGGTGGAAGATAAAAAACAATATTGGAATTTGGGTTAACTGGTATAACACGCTTAAGGATGATTCTCGCTCGGTTAAGTATAAGGATGTTTTTACTTGGACTGTAATTTGCTGGTCTGGTCTGGTCTGGTCTAGTCTGATCTGGTCTGGTCTGGTCTGATCTGGTCTGGTCTGGTCTGGTCTGGTCTGAACTGGTCTAATCTGGTCTGGTCTGGTCTGGTTTCTTTGTATTTTTATAACTATCCAAGTCTGATCTGGTCTGGTCTGGTCTGGTCTGGTCTGAACTAGTCTGGTCTGGTCTGGTCTGGGACGAATTACGGTCCAAAGTAAAAACATCCTAAGGCCCTAGATTCTATGAATCATTTATTTTAGGCTAATTGTTGTCTTAAGATAATTAGGGGCTCTAGCTCCTTCCGTTTCCCTAAATCTAAATGGTGTAATATTAGTCGTCTATATCTTATTATGATGATATCAGGATCCACCTTAGCCAACTTACAATTAGGGGTGCTATACCTGATACCTTCTTGGCCCCTCATTTATATACTATCCTCTATTTTTTAATAATTGCAACAACTTGACTTTCACGTTTGCCAACACATAACTTTGACTGTAATTATATTTAATTACGTATTAGTAAACATTATACAAAGTTAATATTTTGGAAATTCACATTAATAGAAATTCGATAAGATTTTATAAATAATAATTTGATTATATATTAATAGAAAATCGTGATCAAAGTAATGTGTGAATAGTGCAAAAATCACAACGTTGAAACTATTAAAGAACGGGGGAAGTATACAACGGTCTGCCTAGATACCTTGTGGATAGTATCAAAAAGCCCAAAATCCATTTCAATGATAAGCAGGATGGTTCTATCTGAAAACCTAATAGTACTGGCAAGTTCGGTTTTTCTAGTGCCTATGATGTGCTAAGGACTAAAATGATTACTATCTCTTCCTATGGTCCAAAAGGTGGAATCTCCCACCCCAGGAGCCCCCATACCCCCGACCGGATTTTTGGAAGGATGTTAATCACGGTGACTCAATCGGTCCAATGATGGTAGTTTTTTTTTCGTGCGCACCAGAGACCCAGTCTTATTTCAGGTTCTGTGACCTCCACACGGTTGCTGCGGGTTTCGAACCTTAGTCACTTGGTCCAAATTTCCCATCACTGAACCAACTGAGCTACCCGTGCGGGTACTAACTTCATTTGGAATAAACGGACTCCAAAAAATATCTTTTTTCTCTGGAAAATGAAAACCCGTTTACTTCCTTTCACATACAAACTAAATCAATTTGGTATTTTTGACCCATTTCAAATGTCCTATGTGCCCTGCTAACAATACTATTGACCATTTCTTATGTCTTGCACCCTCAGCAAAGCGGTTTGGAGATATTTTGTAAGTTTTTTTTTAATTTCTAGCCAACAACTATGACTTTGAAAATTACAAAGGCCATATGACTTACATTTCTACCAATTATCATACCGGTATACCACCATGGAACCATATGATGCCATCATTATTTGACAAATTCATTTGACAAACACTGGCGGATCCAGGATTAAAACTTATTGGGGGCAAGGTAAATAAAAATGCGTCAGAGAAAAAATATTAATGTAATATTAAAATAATAAAAGTTTTAACAATAGAATACATCAAAAAAGTTGTGTCGAGTTTTCATCTATCGGAAGAGATCCATTACAGGTTCATTTGTAACAACTTTCGTGGAAAGTCATGTTCGCGTGGCTGATAAGATCCTTTAATCAAATATTTTATCCTGATTTTATCCATTGGATTAAATCATTTGTAACAACTTTCATCGAAAGTCATGTTCATGTGGAAAGTCATATTCAATGAAGTGATGTGATGGTAAAAGGGTAAATGAATAATAAAAACTTTCCAAATATAAAAAGAAGTTGAAGGTGGAACTTATTTTTGGGACAACTTGAAAAGGAAATGTGGAACTTATTTTCGGGACGGAGGGGGTATATCATTTAGAAACATTACTATTTGAACTATCAGGTGTTGGTGAAAGAACGATAGCCCAATATCTGATCTCTTCACTAAGTCCAGAAAACAAGCAAAATTAAGTACAATTTTTTAATAGATTAATGCATTTTAGTTTACCACCTAAAATAACATATTATTTACATTTAAGATTTTTAACTTACTAAAGGACATTTTCTATTTTCTAATAGTGTCAAATGTTACACTAAAGATGTATAACTATTTTAGTAAAATCAATTAAATTAAATCTGATCGATCCTTCTAAAAAAGTTATATCTAATTGGTGAAATCAATACTCCTAAAATAAATTAACGACATTATAATAAGTTTAATAATGATGTTTAATATTTATATCTATATAGAAGTTAAAAACTACTCTCTCCGTCCCTTAAAGCTTTGTCATCTTTCTTTTTTTAGCCGTCCTAAAAAAATTGTCACTTTTTTTTAATCAATTAATTTGTGGTTTATGTTATTTATTTATTTATGTTATTTTACCCCAAAAAAACTTTTCGGATTTTTTGGTCTAACACCGGGTCCAAAAAAAGATATTGTAATATTACATTATTATAATTAAGAATTAGTCAATGCCTCGTAGCTACCCCCAATGTCAGCCACCATTATCGGTGCCACCACAACTACTCATCACCGCCACTGCCAACACCGTCATCACACTAATAGTGACAATGAAATCTCTAATCTAAATCTAGTAGCGACTAGGTATACAAGGTGTCATTAGTGGCGGTGGGTGGGGGCAGCAGGGCAACGTTGGGTAGGTGGGTCGGGATACAAGGTGTCATTAGTTACTTTTTATTATTAAAAAGTATGTTAAATATAATAAGTGTTGTATTAGATCTGGGGAAAATTAATGTGATGAATCACTTTTTTGTTAAACTAAATTGGAGTCATAAATTTTGAATTAAAACAGTAGCGTTAGTATGAGCTTCTTTTAAATATATTACCTAAATAAAATTTATTTACAAAAATATGATTAATAATTATTCCGTACTATAATATAGTCACATACTAACTTTAGTATAAAAATCAAACATAAATTAGTATACTAAATTACTACTATAATTACTATATTTAGAAGGGTACATTTTTTTTGAACAACATTTAGAACTCGTTTGGTAGCACGAAAATCGGCTGTTTTGGCTGATTCTGCTGAAATTTATGAAGTTCTGGCTGAAGTGGCTGTTTTAGCTGTTTCTGCTGATTTAAGTAAAAATTATTTTTAAAATATATTTTATTAATAAAATAAAGAAAAAATTATATAGAAAAATAGCTAAAATAGTCATCTACAGTAACTTCAGCCAATACAGCCAGCAAAATAACTCTAACCTTATTTTTTCTGTTTATTACACAATTCAGCGCACGAAAGTAAAATTACGTGTTTGGTGAAAAAGTTGACTGATAAGACTGATAAACCGGAAAAAAATGTTACCAAACGGCCTCTTATTTTAAACATATCATGTACATAGTTGCATTTGCCCAATAATATGCATCTATGTATGACACAGACGCGCATTTAAATCGTCACATAAATCGAACAAACCCAACGTACGAAACATCATTGATAGTCCGTTTTTTTACCAAACTCAAATACTCAATCATTTTTGTGCTTAATTTTAAGTCCTTATTCTCCAGAGACAGCGAGAGAGAGAGGAGATTGGACGGGAGGAGTGGAGCTGAGATTCTCTCTTTCTTTCTTAGACTAGAAGAGAGTCTTTGATTTCCTAAACCTTCAGTTTCCTTTATTGGATTGCCAGACCAAATTATCAGCTGCGAGGAGACTAATCCCCAGATTAGTCAGAAAACAGGGGTCTTCTTGGCATTCCATTTCTCTGTCTCTATGCTGTTTTTTTTTAATTTGAGGTACTTTAATGCATCATCATTGTTGAATGGTTATACTTTAATGTAGGATCATCCGTATGGAAAAGGAATTGTTATTTAGGTTATTAGTATTCACCCCATTTCTTTCCAAAATAGAATCAATGTGTTGAATTGCTATCGGAAGATTTGGGTTTGAGATTTTTGGTCAAGTTTGTTTTGTTCGCCAGATCTTCATTTATTTTGGATATATAATCTGTGATTGTATATATATGTATGTATATGTATCTATGTCTATATATAGACACACATATGTATGTGTGTGTATGTATGTATATTTAAACAGAATCTTATAGTAATTATTCAAACTTTAATGACAATTACTTTTTGTGTTGGCATTGATTTCTCTCAAATGCTATCTGAAGGAAAGGGTCTTTGATAGCTTACATATCTTTTGATTGCAAAGATGGTTTTCCTCAAATCTTGTCTTCCATAAATTAATGTCCTGTTTGGATTGAGAGGAACCTAGGTGAATCTAATTTAATAATTTGGTCTCATTTAAAATTAGTAATCTATGTTGAGTGAGGTGAGCCATTTACCCCACTCACTCCATTTTTGTTACTTCCAAAATAGGGTGTAATCAGGGTGAATATCTTATGTGAAGTGTTTTTAATTCACCCCAATCCAAAACTTAGAGCCAATATTAGCCAAATAGTATTTTAAAATGTTCACTTGCATCCATTATCTCCTAACCTAGGTTATATTCTAAAGTTTACCAGTTTCCATAACCTAGGTGAACCTTAATGCTAACGAGCATAGACAGATTAGAGAAGTGAATAGATGGCAGGAAGGAAGGACTACTGTGGATGGTGGCAAATTGACATGTTAGGCCTTTTTTAAATTGTCTGATTTTAGGTTTGTGTTTATAACTACCTTTGACAGTAGCCGTCTACTGACAATTTGGTATTAGAACTCCATTGTTGCAATTTCTTTTTTGAACTCCATTTTGAACTACATTCCTTTTCTGAAGTTCCTTCACAACTATTACTATGTAAGTGAAATATTTGGTAGTTAAAGCCTATATAACAAGATAAACAGAAAACATCAAAAGTCCATTTTTTAAATGAAAAGATGTTGTAAAGAGGACAAGAGGTATCCAATAGCTTCCAAGATGTTTCTAAAACGTCTCTGAACTGCGAAAGGTTACCTTTCAGGAGTTCCCGTGCATCATTTGTTAAACTCTCGCTAAGAGGGATGGAAATTGGATGTAATTGGCATCTGAATATCCGATGTCCTTGAAATATTAAGCCTTTGTTAAAATAGTTATATAGTTATCACACATTTAGTAGATTTATAGTTTTAGTAAGGGAGAAGGAACATATCTGCTTCTGAAATGTCTGATAACATATATAGCCCTCAACTCTCTTTTGGAACAATTAAACACAACATTGTAAAGTTGGGACAAATATGCTCGCATGTCCTAATAGTTGAGGGTCTATATGCTCATTTATATATAGTTTAAAGTGTATTTGTTCCAACTTTACAATTTTTATATATATCGGCTCTAAAAAGAAGTTGAGGGGTGTACATGTTCTCTCACATACTTCGTTTAATTCTTGGGTATATTCCTTATCCAGTTTTTGTAAATATATAGTTATGATAGTTTTAGTAGTATTATACTACGTAGTTTCTTAATTTCTTATCCATGCTTGGTTTAGTTCTATTATCTTAATATTCGCAGTGTATCAAAGTTCTTATTAATAAAACAAGTACCCCCTCTGTCCCAACTTAAGCTTCTTACTTTATTTTTTTAGATGTCACATTTAAAGCATCCTATTTCCATTTTAGGAAATAATTAGCACTCTTAAGTGGCACCTTAATCATCAATAAGTTTTAAATAATATACCTATAACATCACAGTTATCATCAATGACATCACTGTGCCATTTTTCAATGAGAAGCTTAAGCCAGGAGGAGGTAATAGTTTATTATTCACAAGCCTCTAACAGTGTGACTGGACATTACCATTTTCACTGTATTAACTCTTCATCAGTTGATTTCTTTCAGGTATATTATATATTTTGGATGCAGTGGTTTCCAATCACTCTGCATTTGTAATTGAATTTTCTAAAATCCAACACCAGTACAACTATAATACTCATGGGGGGATTAGATGATCATGTTGCCATGATAGGAGATTTGGTGCCTCCTAGTCCGAGTCCAAGGGCATTCTTCTCATCAATCCTTGGTGTTGATCTTGGGTCAAGGCCAGCTGCTGAGCATACAAGGGAGAGTAAATCTGGGACTCATGTCTCAGAGCCTGAAGGGTATGCTTCATCAAAATATGGTGATGTGAAAAGTTCTGCCCAAGCTGGTAATGAAGAAGCTATGTTGAGTTCATTCTCCAATCAGAAAGTGAGTTGCAGTGGAGGTCTCTTGGAAAGGATAGCTGCTAGGGCTGGATTCAATGCCCCAAGGCTAAACACAGAAGGCATTCGAGCAGCTGCTGATCTTTCACAGAACCAAGCAGTTCGGTCTCCTTACTTGACAATTCCTCCTGGTCTCAGTCCAACAACCCTACTAGATTCCCCTGTTTTTGTTTCAAATTCACTGGTAAGTGTTAATAATTGTTAGAATCTCACATTGGAAAATCAAAGAAAGAATGATGGGCTAATAATACTTTGGGTTGAACTAGCTAATGATTGGATTGAGCTTTTAATGTGGTTTGAGCTCAAAGAACCTAACCCTTAATTCTATTCCGTAGCTATAGTCTATAATTTTTGTCTAGTGTCTACTGCTTTTCTTCATTACTTTTCTAGAGAATTTTTCTGCTTCCAGTTTAAATGATTAAACCCTAATCTGTAAAGTTTAACTAAAGTGAATATCTAAGCAACTTGTTTCATAGCAGCATACTGGTCTTCTCTTTCCATTGTACCAAAAGATGTCTTGTGCTTTTAAGTTCCAAGTAAAAAAAGGCAGCCTGGTGCACATTGGCGTCCCGACAAGATGAGGGTCCAGGGAAGCGTCCCAGACTCTTGCCTTGTGAGGACGACAATGTGCACAGATATGCCTTTTTTTCCAACATGAATCGAAATATGAATATCGCTACAGCTAGAGGTCGTCGCCCTTAAGTGACTCGACATCCTTTCGCATGGGGTGGTGTCAAATATGCAAGGGCACGCTACACTTCATATTCATGTGAAGGATTGATTTTCTTTTCATTTTTTATCTTTTTTTCTTATGTTCTTTATCTTTTTACCGTTTTTTTATATTTCGTATGATCTTTATCTTTTTATCTTTTTTATGTTATATTCTTTATCCTTTCTATCTTATCATTTTTATCTTTATCTTATCTTTTTTTATCTTTTGTATGTTATCTTATTTTTTTATCATTCTTATCTTTTTTATCTTTCTTATCTTTTTTAGCCCCGATCTCATATGTTGATTCACCTTAGCAGATCCCAAACTGTTTTGGGACTAAGACTGGAACGTTGTTGTAGTATATGAAAATAAAACTTTCAAATTCTTAACACCATATGCCTTGCTTGAGTACTTTCTGCTAGAACCCACATTGGCAAATTAAAGAGATAAATAGGCTGATAGGACCTGGGGCTAAACTACATAATATATTGATTTGATCTTTTTATTGTGGTTTCATGTGTCTTATGGCCGCGTTGAGTTACCAAACTCAATCTTGACTTTTATCACTTCCCATTGTATTCAAAATGCTGGCTGGAATATGCTTCGTTGTGATTGTTTTATTTTTATTTTATTTTTTGGTAGGTACAGCCATCTCCAACAACAGGGAAATTTCCATTTCCCTTGTCAGGTGACATTCAGAATTCATCGTTGTGCAGTGAGGCTTCTGATAAAAGCAAGGAGTTCTCTTTCGACAACAACAATTTGTCTACCTTTGCTTTCAAGCAATTCATTCCAACCGGCACTTACCTCTTTCCGGGCACATTAAACAAAGTAACCTTTCGCTTAGTGTCCCTCCCCCCAATCCACCCCGAACTCTCCCTAATTTGTTACATTGCTTGCAGGTTCCTCCATCCGGTTTAATACATCAATCCTCTCTCTGCGTTCAGAGTTCAATCCAATCAGAAAGGTCTCACGTCCCTCCCAATGTAGAGACTGCTCAAGTTTATCCACAGAATGGAACATTTCAACAGCGTAATTCTCCACCTCTTGATGAGGATGCTGATGAAAAAGGAGTTGGAGATTCCAGTAGTCTTGGTGGTTCCCCAGCTGAGGATGGCTATAACTGGAGAAAATATGGGCAAAAGCAAGTCAAAGGAAGTGAGTATCCACGGAGTTACTACAAGTGCACGCATTCAAACTGCACGGTCAAGAAGAAAGTGGAGCGCTCTCTTGAGGGTCATATTACAGAGATAATATACAAGGGGGCCCACAATCACCCAAAACCTAGTACAAAATCTCTACCTGGACCCACAAATGGAATCAGTGATATGCAAATAGAAAGTGCAACCAAACAAGCTGGAAACGGAGGTGATAGTGATACTTGTAGTTGGAGTAATGACAATCTTGAGGTAACAACCTCTGCACCTTTGGGCTCAGAATACTGCAATGTAGTGGCCCAAAATGGTGCACAGTTTGAATCAGGTGAACCAGTCGACATGTCCTCTACTTTTTCAAATGAGGAAGACGATGATGATCGTGGAACACATGGAAGTGTATCACTAGGAGCCTACGAGGGTGAAGGGGACGAGTCCGAGTCAAAGAGAAGGTTTCTAGTGTTATATCCATCAGATTCTATGACTTAGATTCCAAACAAATATACATCTTGACATACTTGAGGGATAATTATCATTGCCCCTTGAGGTTATGTCATAATGACTAATCTAACTTTGTGTTTTCAAAAGTCAATTTGTTACTCTTTGAACCTTAATTATTCTCTCAACTTTCTGTTCACAACTTCCTCATTCCGCCTCTCCTACTCTCAAGACATTGTTCCCGGAGTAGCAGAGAAGAAGGAATAATGAGAAGGGCAGCCATGGCTTACTATGTTGAAGGATAAATGTTTTGACTTTCAACGATGAACCCTTAGTTAAGATATAGTCAAATGAGATATATATTTGTGGGGGATTGAGAATAATCAAAGCTAAAGGGGTGACTAATTGCCTTTTGAAAACACAAGGCTGGACTAATAATTATGAGTTAACTTCATCGAAATAACAACAGTTCTTTCCATATTTAGTACCCTGATTTTTTAATCAATATCCCTGATTATCTAGGAAGCTTGAGATTTATCCGGCAGACATGACTGGTGCAACGAGAGCCATCAGAGAGCCGAGGGTGGTGGTGCAGACTACCAGTGAGGTTGACATACTTGATGACGGTTATCGCTGGCGCAAGTATGGTCAGAAGGTTGTCAAAGGGAACCCAAATCCAAGGTTGTCGAAAGTTCTCCCACTCTATGTTCTTATTTATGGATCGAAATCTGAAAAGTAAAATCTTGTTGGCTGACTATTTCTCTTTACTCCCCCTCCCATTTTACAGAAGTTACTACAAGTGCACAAGTGCGGGTTGCAATGTCAGGAAACATGTGGAGAGGGCTTCTCATGATCTCAAGTCGGTTATCACCACCTATGAAGGAAAGCACAACCATGATGTTCCTGCTGCACGAAACAACAGTCATGTTAATTCTGCAGTACTAAATCCTCCTGCGCGAACCCATTTTCACAGTCCTGACCCCTCAGAACTTCACGGCACTGTTCCCAGGTTTGAAGCGCCACTTTCATTTAGGACACAGCTAGCCAGTACCCCAGGTTTTGGTTTTGGGATGAACCCTCAAGGTTTAAGCAACATGGCAATGAGTGGATATCCTGGTCTTCAATTTAATCCATATCTTGGACAACAACGCCCAATGAATGGCATGAGCAGCTTCATGCTCTCGAAGGGAGAACCGAAGGTAGAGCCCGTCTCTGACCCTGTCCTGAATCTCTCTAATAACTCATCAGCTTATCAACAGGTCATGAGTAGGTTGCCGCTTGGACCCCATATGTAAATTTACACTCTCCCTCATATGAGAAGAGAGTAGAAGAATATGCCCAATGCGGCTATATATATAGCCTATAAAAAAGAAAAAGGAAGTTTTTGATTCAATTTTGTATCGTTGATTCCGTTTACCCCTTCTAAACTTTCTTTTTTCTAAATTAATAATTGTTGCCTGTCTTATTTTCATTCATTCTTTTTTTCCTTCAACCAAAATTATTTTTATTTCCTTTTAGAGAAAACATGATGCTGTTAATATGGTTTCTCATTCATCAAAACTTATATTAACCACACCTTTTCATTTTCTGGTTCACTCAGTGTTTGCACAACTTTGCATTAAACCAGGGTCTAAACTGAAAATGTGACAATCACATTTTTTATTCACTTTTTGGGGGAAATTGTCAAATATGTCCATATAAGGGAAAAAAGACAATTGAGTCCCCGTACTATCAATTGAACCAATTAGCCCCTTAATTACTGAAAACACTCGATTCTACATTTTAGAGTCCATTTGGTGACCCCTTTTTCGGCTTATCAGCTAGTTTTTTTACCAAATACGTAACTTTTGATTTCACATAGTTTTTCACCAAACACGTAACTTTTGATTTTACGCGTTGAATTGTGTAATAATAAGAAAAAGTAAGGTTGAAGTTATTTTTTTGTTGTATTGACTGGATATACTATAGAGGGTCATTTTAGCTATTTTTCTATAATTAACAGATTCAGCTAATACAGTCACTTCAGTCAGAACTTCGTTAATTTCAGCAGAATCAACCAATTTTAGTGTTATCAAACGGACTTTAATCTGCCACCAACCGTTATCATGTAAATACATGTTGTGGATGTTCATGTGGCTATAATCAATTTCTTTTGGGGTCTTAATACCAAGGGTGTGCATCTGAAAGGACCATGGAAGTGAACTAGTACGCAGCTGCACGAGTACATCTAAGGGAATGCCATTTGAAGGTTAGCCACAGCACCTTGAGTCAAATTCTTGGCCACAGCCCTGTATGCCGCTGCAAGTCCTGCCCTTTCCCAACCAAGGCTAGAATAATACGTGACAAGATTATACTACTCTTATCCGCTAAGGTCGGAAGCCATCAGGTTATTTCCTGGTGAATTATTGCTTGTGCTTGGTGGGGAGGGATACCAGCAGGATTAACCCAATCTATCTCAAAATTCTTGCTCACATCGATTCTCAGATGGAAAAAGATCGACTACCGGAGATATTCATGATTCTTGTCAATAAATCTTGTCTGCGCTAGTTTGTACACGATGAAGAGAAACATGGTTTGGTCGGAGAGGAAGTCTAGGAGAGCCACATTTGCAGCATCATTAACAATTTAGAGCATCTCCAATGTGAGCCTGTTGACATTAGAAAAAACTGCCGCATCAACCATGTCGACATATCTCGCAACATTTTCGTCTCCTGCGTAATATGTCCAAGGCTATATAAAGCTGACCTGTACAAAAATAACGTCAACATTGTTAAGGTGCTTGTCTTCTGATAACAGCCTCCTTGACATGATGACTCAGCGAAAATGGGTGAAGAAATTCCGCAAAAAAAATCTCCAAAATGTCTTGAACCACGACCTATACCTTCAAGTAGTGGGTTTCTTCAGCAAATTAATTTCACAGTTTTCAATGTAGCAGGTTTGTCGGGGAAAGGATTTAATTTCTTGCATATGCAGTATATTTTTGCTCGTATTTACAAATTTCCTAACTTTGGATTAATTCATTCTTCTCAAAACTAAATTTCCCAATCAAAATTTTCTATTTGCACTACTTTTTAATCCTTTCTTTTGAATAATAATAGCCTGTAATATGGATATTTCGGTGATACATGCGCTTATCGGCAAAAGAATTTCGTATGGTTTGGGTTGTTAACCTGAAGCACTGGAGCATCTTTTGGAGTTTCAATGTCTAATTAAATCACTCTCGCGTGACATGGATAGACATTCCACTTATTAAGTGCCATGTCAAAGTTTATTCCATGTGAAGGATGTAGCATTAAAGATGCTCTTACCGGATAACCTATTGGTGGGATTGGCTTTTTTATAGTTTAGGGGGCGTTGATGGAGTAATTTGATGGTTTGAGGGTACAATCCGCACATTACAAGAATGGATAGTTTTGTAAAAAAATGGTTTAATGTACTAAACTCCCTTATAATATATAAATATGGGGCATTATCCGCATGTGATCTAAATAATGTGTCAAACTGCACTGTGTTATAGTTATTCATGAGTGTTATTCCTTCTATGAACAAATTTAATTGCCAAATAAATGAAAAATGATTAGCAGTTTTGTATAATTTAGACATCTTAACAAAGCTACTTGCATATTCAATCTTATTGAGATAAATGATTTAAAATTTCTCAAATTTATATTTCACATGGAGATTTGGTGCATTAAACCCAAGAAAAATGACAAATATTTTTCGACAGTTTTGAGATTTTGAAAAATGTATTTGCATGTTCAATCATAACACTAACATACATTGATAAATTTACTTCTATTATGCACATGATCAATAATAACGTAGAAGGGCTTGATGTATTTTTTAAAATCACGGACACAACACTACTCTTTAAATATGTGCCCACTTATTTTTCTTTACTATTTTCCTATTACTTTTAAATCATTCTTTCTTTTGTAGCTCCTTTTAAATACAAGTATGTGCACACTACTCTTTAAGTATGTGCCTACTTTTAAACACAGTTGCCTTAAAAATTAAAAGCTTTTAAATATGAAAAAATTATTAGAACACACCTTTTTGTACAAATCATCTTACACATATCTATGAGTAACTATTCTTTGTTTGTGAATAGTCTATCACAAACAAAACATGATTTGTCTGTGAACAGACTATTCGCAAATAAAAATCAACTATTCATATACATGTGTAAAATGATGTGTACAAAAAAGTGTGTATAAGAAGAATACTACTATATTTTATAAACATACCTACATATCTACTTGTTTTCTTTTGGCACACAAGTTTTTCCTACGTTGAATTGGAAAGCGTTCAGTCACTTCAGTGTGCTAAAATCAAAGGACGGATTGGGTTATAAATTGGTGCGTGAGTTTAATATTGTCATGTTGGATAAACAAGCATGACATTGGAGTATTGGACTGCTATTCAGGTGACTAAGGTTGTGTGGTGCAACCGTGCAACTAATGTAAGATCATTGTTGTGCTAAGGAGTTGTGTGATCACTATGACATTTAACCTTCTTATATGGTGGTGGACAACTATCAGGGGCGGACCCACCCTAGGGCTAGGGGGTGCCCGTGCCCCTGCGGTGATTTATATATATATGTATATATATTGGAAAATTCTCAGGTCCAGCACCTCCCGGTCCGAACGCCGTCCGAACACCGTCGTTTGGGGCGGTTCCAGGTAGATTTTTTTGATGAAATCTTTTGAACATGTTTCTCATCAAGTCTAGTTTATCCATACCAAATTTCAGGTCAAAATTCGATCGGGAAGGCAGTCAAATAATTCGTCGAAGTTAACTGCGTTTTTCTATGTATAATTTGGCGCAGTTAACTTCAACGAATTATTTGACTGCCTTCCCGATTGAATTTTGAGCTGAAGTTTGGTATGGATAAACTAGACTTGATGAGGAACATGCTCAATAATTTTCATCAAAATATTCCGCCGAGAACCGCCCCAAACGCCGGTGTTCGGACGGCGTTCGGACAGAAAAGTTATGCCGATTGAGACTTATGATGTTAATATTAGAGATGAGTTGAGGAGACGTTATTTGAGAAAAGGTCCTTGCCAACCACGTGACTTTAAATTTCCACAAAGTGATTTTAATGAGTGCAACAGATCATTCCAAAAACAGTGGTTTTATTTAAATTTTATAGTTTTGTTTATTGCTATACTCGTGATGCATATGATTTTTTTCTAGACTAGTATATCATTTCTTTATTATTGTGCCCCTGCGAGTCATGAGTTCTGGTTCCGCCACTGACAACTATCACTAGGAGTGACTTAATGACACCGATTAATTATTAAGTGGAATATCACAATAATAAATGTAGCATAAATTTAATGATTAGTTAAAACAAATACTACCTTCATAGTTTCATTCCAATTTATTTTGCAAAATCAACATTTCTTTTGTCAACCAATTCTATCTATAGGTAAATAATTCAATTTTAATAATTAATATTTACATATTAATAAACTACATTAAAATCTCTATAAAGTTGCAAAATCCAAAATAAAATATAATTAAGAATTGATATCTTAATTAAGTGATTAAAATGAAACCATTTGACACAAAAATCAAGTTTTGCAAATCAATTTGAAACAGAGGGAGACTTGAAAGGGGTTTGCCCCACATCCAGCTTATATAATATCATATATCATAACCATTTAGTTTCTTTCCTGCAATATAAATTGTTTATTTATACTCTTTAATCTGTATACGGTAAACAAAAGAAGTAACAATATCATGGAAAACCGTAAATACAAATAGTAGGAAGTACCGATAAAAGAATTACATGTAGTATAAATTTCTAGTGCTCTGTGCATGTGTTAAATTACAAACATTATTTTGGGTTTTATTCACGCCTTGTACACCAAATTGAGAGGGAAAAAATGTACTGCTCAAGGAACTGTGCATAAAAACTGTGTGATAGTAAGTCCTCCCAAAACTCTGATAGCGCTGATCATAGGGAACACTAGGTTTCCATCCAAAAAAGGATACAATAGGTTTTTACTTTTCACCATAGGAGTTTGTGCCTGGACCTCTGGCGGAATTGCTTTTTTGTCACACACCAGGAAGACAGAAAGGTACTCAACTGTGCAAACAAAACAAACATGACATTACAAAATATATGGGCACATAAAACTAGTACTCGTGTTCAAGGCTTTGATCATTTGAACAAGATAAATAAGCAATGGAACAGTTAGGATAATAATCCAGAAAATATAATACTCCAGAAAATATAATACTCCGGCCCAAGTATCTCATATTTCTTTTAAAACAATATATGAGAGTACTGACTACCGACACGCATAGCCATTACTCAGAAAAATAAAATGTGGGGTGATTAGAAAAAATAAACTATTCATATAAACTCTTATAGTATAACTTCCAACACATGAATAAAAAATTATTTATCAAAACTTAGGACGCGCCACGGCCCGGATTGGCCCTCCCTTAGTATGCCTATAAGTGCTTGATATAAGAGTGTCTGTTATACGTAGTATGTTTTATTATGGCTTTGCACGAAAACTTGTAGTGAGTAACTCTCTAGATCTCTCTTTTATGACTAAAGCCAGATGATTTCATATTATATAAGAACTCGAAAGCATTTTTCAGAATTATAAGAGATGAGACAATATGCAGTAGCTTACATTGCTGATGAGCTTTGCTCCATACCATGCAGAATCTACACCATGAGGGGGAGGAAGTACTTTGACACCGAATGACTTGGATGGGGGAAGAAGACCACAAAGTTCCTGCTCTAGTCTTTCTGGGGAGGGTGGGAGGCAGTACAAAGAAAGCAGTTTAATTAAAAACTTGATGCTTTATTTCTGTAAATGTAATATCTGGCTTTCCTTATATCAGTCTTATGAGGTTCATATATGCCAAAGGGTATATAATGAACAATCAATTAAAGAAGCTTCTATTTACCTGCTAGCCCATGCAAACATGCAGTACCACCAGCCAGGACTACAGTTCTATACCAGGTTTCATCAGCAATAAGTTCTGCTTCTTGACAGTGCTCCATGCACAATGCAACAGCATGATGTAAACCCATGGCACGCCTGCAGCCAAGGGCGTGTATGTGTCTATGAAAGTGTACTACTTAAATGAATAGCATAGCTATGATAGAAAATCAGGAAGGGGAAAAAAGAGCCAGCATTACCAAATGATTTGTAGAATAAAATAGCATATAGACTTACATTCCTGCAATCCGAGGCTGGAACAAAATTTCTCCTGTTTGAAATCGCTCTTTATCAAGTGTAAATACACCTTCTGATGGAACTTGAAATGAGGCTGTTGTGTCTTTGGATAGCTCGGCCTCGTAATCAGGAGCGACATAGCAGAGGTTCTGCAAGTCCAAAGAGAGAAAATAAAAACATCCAACAAATTAGGTAGAAGTTCATTGAGAAAATAAATGACAGAGATATCAAGCAACGTAAAAAATTCAATTACGAAGTTTATTCAACCAATACTGGAGATTACAATATGCCATTTCATGTAGACTCATCCCGAAAATTTTTTAAGGAGAAAAGTGATATGAGCGTATTTGATACCAGGATTTGGAATATCTATATCTTGTAGAGTATTATCAAGCTGATTGAAGGCCACGTGATAAGTAAGAAGAAAAATTGGACTACCTCCTTTAATGTGCGTACAGTGTAGAGTGAACCAAAATATATGTTCTTTTGTTGCATCTGATCCTTGAGGAAACTCGTAAGTTTTAAAGCTCCCATTCCCATTGTTTCCACACCAACATTGTGCATAATTTTACCATTTAGAACTGCAACAGAAAAAATGCCAAACATTAGGGAACAACATAATGCACTGCATATTTAAATCTAAAAAGACCGGTCTTACTTGGAACAACAGATGTCTGGTGAAAACCAATATTGACAACTATTCCTGATGTCCGCCTTGCTGCAAACAAAGCTAAAACTGCCTACACATTTTAAAAGGAACAAATCATGGCGGTATTGTTTTAAAATAAGATTCTCAGCAGCACATGTACAATAGACACGATGCGAAATTAAAACATGCAAAATGAGAAAGAGAATACCTAGAGCTTATCAAATTTATACCCTATTGGTTGCAATCATTATTTTCAGTGAAAGTGTAGCTATGTTTCTCAGCAGGGTGAGCTGCCTTGTTTTCCAAGATATGTTACGTTTGGTGAATGCTTTTTTAACTGCTAAAGAATAAAATAAGGTATACATCATCAAGACAAGAAGGGGAGCCTTGGAGAACCGGTTAAGGTGTTGCCGAGTGACCGAGTGGTCACGGGTTCAAGTCTTGGGAGCGGCCTCTTGTCGATAATTTGACAGGGGAGGCTAGCCCCTTATTCACTCTTGTAGTGGGACCCTTCGCCGGACCCTCCCAAGGATGTCTTCATGCACCGGACGCCCTTTTTTATGACATCATAAAGACACACCCTAAAATAATTTGCAGCAAAAAATGTGTGTGCTTAATCCCCAAATAAGGCCATATGTAGCTTACAGTCACCTTTTAAAGATAAAATAAAAGAAAAATGACTTAACCACTACATAAAAATGACCTGGTTAATGGCACAAACAGCAGGAACATTCAAGTCAAATAATGTTGAGAGGATAGCTTCATCTAGCTGCTTCCGAGATGATTTGTCAGATTCGACATCTAAAGTTGAAATCCATAGAATCAAACATTTCAGACACTATGCATATAAAAGAGATAAAATTTTGAACAGATAGAATACACAATCAACAAAAAGAAAAGGTTTATAACCAACAAAACACTCATATTCTATTTACTCTTTCAAACAGAAATAGAATATGAAACTTCATATTCTATTTATAAGTAACAACACATGTGCACGTGCACACATATTCGGAGGATAGCTCCTTCTGGAAACATCAGGCATGATTTGTCAGATTTAAGATCTAAACTCGAAAACCACAAAGTAAAAAATATGAGACACTACACAAATTAAAGAATAAAAGTTCCAACATATAAAATCCAGTACCAACCAAAGGAAAGGGTTAATAACAATAGTAACCGAGTATTAAAAAATGTACATCAGTTTTAGTCTTTTTCACAAAAAAAAACATTGATCGATCTAAATGTGTGTGCGCACATACACACGGACAGTTGAAGGAGATAAGATCTCAATATAGGAAAAGAGTAGGAGCGATGCAATATAACTAGAACCTACATGATGCTATCCAGCCAGATAAAGAAAAGGCTAAAATAAGATAGATGTTGTAAATAAAGAACTGACTTAAAATAGAACGAGTGAAAGCTTACCGTCATAATGGCATATTGGGATGGACACAATAATTGGTTGTGTTGATGTTTTGACCTGCATCCTGAAAAGATTCCATGTAGAATGAGTGACCAAATATGCTTTATTTCATTAGAAAATATAAATTTCATCACTAAAACACAATACAAAAAAGAATGGATGGTACCTAGAGGGTACTAGGACACAACTACAGTAGGAGATCTTTACGCTCAAAGAAAGTGCTTCCTCTATTTTTGAGTTGATTGGATTAACAAAGGCCAACATAAAGGTTCGCAAAATAGAACGATTGACATTGTTTACAAATACCGATATTTTCAAAAAACAATTTGTTTCTAGTTCTTAAAATAAGAGTCAGTCTGGTAATTTTCGACGCGATTTTCACTATGAGTCATTCGGAAACAGTTTCTCTGTTCTATAGTACAGGGGTAAGACTGCGTACATCCGATCCCCTTACCCCACCGTTGGTGGGAGCCTTTGCGGCACTGGGATAATATAATGATGATGATCAATCCAACCATTATGAAGCAATAGATGGTCTATAGATTCCAGTTCTTTTTGCATAAATATGATCAAAGTGTTTCGAACAAGAAGTTTTTATGTGGTGCTGAGTCACAACAATCATGTCTCGGATCTTTATATTAACACAATACAGCTGCAAAAACATAAGTAGAAATATATCATGTGGATATCTTTGCAGTGTTCCTTTCAAATGCTAAAGTTAAATTATGAAGGTAGATGATTATTTCTCCCAATACATTGTTATATATATATATATATATATATATATGATAAAGTTATTAGGAAAGGGAAACCTGCTGTATATGGTCGAGAAGAAATGCCTCAGCCTAGAATACATTGGAGTTTCAATGTTACCAAATTCCTAGACAAGAGAAGTCAGAAGAGGATAAAATTCAAACTCTGATAGCACAAGGTTAAAAGAAAGAACATCCCGAGTCGCCAGAATTGTATTTTAATGAGTTGACAATTGCTATGAGAAGCTTATAAGAGATCTTACTAAAAATGTGGCTGATCTCCCTGATGGACGGCTATATTTACTCCATCCATACTTACAATAGCCCGAACCACCTTTTCATGAAAAGAAGAATGAAATCAATGAAAGAATAAGATCTCAGAAAAAAGGATATTGTAGACTTGTAGTACCTTGTCATGGTACTACAAACCCTTTACTGTTGTTTTAGCAGCACAAGAATAAAATTAAAAATTAAAAATTAAAAAAAGACCAACCAGGACCCTAAAGGCCGCCTACTTAAAACAGAGTAAAACCAGTATCCTAGACTCCTAGTGCGCACCATCAATAATCATGGTTCCAGGGACCTTGGCACGCTGACCATAAATATGCATGAATGAAAGTTCAGCAACCGGATTAGCAAATGACCTGCACATGGTTTAACCAACAAATAAGTTCAGACCTACGCCCACCACTTATTGTTCCCTCACTTGGTACAAAAGCCGCAAGTAAGATACTTCAACTGTAAACCCTTTGTACAAATAGCAGCATTACTTACTAAAAACGTTTTGGGCTAACGTTTTCAAATAGGACATTACTTACTAATCGCTACAGCCAAAATAATCCACTATTAACAACCTAGTAAAGTAATCCATTATCCACTACCTGCTAAGAGCTAAATGTCAAACACGCCCAAAATGAACTATATAGTTTGAAGTTATTTGAGTTATAAATTAAAAATGTGAATAAAAGAGATCAATTTATGATTTGTGTGTGAAAAGATATAATTAGAACTATATAGTGAGAACTTACTTAAGTTATAAGTTTAAAAGTATTGATAATAGAGGTACCAATTTATTATTTGTGTGTGCAAAGATGTGATTGTGAACATTTTCCAAAATATTTGTTGAATTAATATATTTGATCCATTTAAACGAAAATAAATGTAACTAGGCCTGACAAGATTTGAACTCTGGTTGCTAAGCTCATTTTTACCGCGCATTTCCACCGCTTCACTGCTATGCCACCCTTATAAAATTTAAATATAAATAAATAAAGCAAAACACAGTTTGTGCCTATAGATGCTAACTGGATATATATATATATATATATATATATATATATATATATATATATATATATATATATATATATATATATATATATATATATATATATATGTATGTATGTATGTATGTATATATATATATATATATATATATATATATATATATATATATATATATATATATATATATATATATATATATATATATATATATATATAATGGGGGGTTGGGTGGGGTTGAAGGGGAAGCTCACGGCTTCACCCCTGCCATATTACTATATTATCACGTATGAATTAGTTATAAATCCACGATTCTGGTTTCATTTATTAGCTTTCTCTCCTGTTTGTTTTTTGTGAACCTGACATTCACGACAGAAGACAGAATTTCAAAGGCTAAGACTAGTACCAAAGAGAATAGCCCGATCGCAAGTGAGTTTCGGCGAAGAATATAGAATCCCAAGGCTCGTGTTGAATCTGAAGGAAGTAAATCCAAAGCCTGTTATCAGAAACGATGAACCGCCACAACTTACAGACGGCGGCGAGCTTCGCCGCCTCCTTGGGGCCAAGGAGCTTCACGATTAAGAGGAATACATCGGTCGGTATCCTATCGAATTCCCCCGCCGACAACGATCGTATAAACATCTGCTGTTGAAATCCATCGCTGGGGCAACGTCTGGAACCCGACGCCGAACGACTAGAAACTGATTCCCAGACTCTGCGGAACAACGTCACCATGGTTGTGAGTTGTGAGGAGACAAGGAGTAGCGCACATGAGCACAAAGTGAGGAGGTGTGGAGTTAATAGACGAGAACAAAAATGGCGGGGCCATTATTCTAATCAAGTTGCGTACGGAGAGGAAAATGGTTCTGGTCTTCTGGATCCCCAAAAAGAAGAGATTTGGATTGACTTTGAGATGCCGAGTCACCATCTTATCTTATCAGCGGTTCTTTGGCCTGACTAAATAAAAGAGGTAAGGGTGATTACTCCAAATTACATAAAAAGGTTAAGTCTTTGAGTTTTTTCCCAAGGAAAGGTATTTTCAAATCTTATTTCCCAATTTAGGGTAGTTTTAAACTTATTTCCCAAAGAAAGGTGTTTTTTGCCTTGTCACCCCGTTGGACGCGCCATGTCAGCGAACATTCTCACTCCTCGCCACGTCATATATCCATGTCACCTCATTCATATGTGTTTTAACATATAAAAAAAATTGAGGATAATGTGAGTCGAACCCAAGCGAATGCGTTTGAAATTCACGTACTCACACCACTGTTCTTCAATCACTTGTTGTTATCATCTTTTCTTTTATTCATATATATAAAATAAAACAAATGGCTGTTCAAAATACTATACAACCCTCCATTCCACTGTGTCCTGCTCTGCCGATTTCTCCGATTATTACATTCCACCTTATCCTCCATTCCAACTTCATTAACATCAAAATACCCAGTTTCACATCCCTGAATCTCTCTGGCGCAAATGAAGCCGCAAGTTCGATCCACGCTTCACAGGTACGTTCGATCCAAACAATCTCCATATCCTCTATATCTCACTATCTAAATTCTGAATACTTCGTTTTCTCCTTTACATGTAATCTCTATTTCTAATTGTTTGTTGAAGTAATATCTTCGCATTCACTGGTCGGAGTTCTTTGTTTCTTGATTCTCGGTTTCTAATTGGTTTTTACTATCACTGCAAGTATACATTTTTAAGCATATAAGGTGTTTGATGAAATGCTTAAGTGAGTTTTGACTTTTACCCTCTTAATTTAAAAAAAAAGAAGCTTAAATGTTTTACAAAAACAGTTTAGTGAGTTTTGACTTTTACCCTCTTAATAACCTCAGTAGTAGTACAGTTTATAGTTTTTGTTTTGGCCACCTCATTCATGATTTATGATACTTAACTTAATGAATACTATACATTTGTTATCTATGAATAGACATAAATTGGTGAAAGAAAGCTTCAAGAACAAAAGTTATTGGCCCCTCTCATTTTGGGCAGCTCAAAACAAAAGTTATTGGCCCCTCTCAGTTATGTGGTCACTAAAGTGTAAGAAACACAAGGAAGGTGGATGCAGTTGGAGGCTTCGAGCATGTAAGCACAAATCCCATCAACTTTTTGAAATCACTAAATATGTTGGTCCACACCAATGTGTGTACAAAAGTTTGAGTCGTGATCACCCATTGTTAGACTCGAATTTATTAGCACGTGAAATTGAAAATCATGTCAAAGTGGAGCCTTCTATTACAGTTGCAGCCCTAATAGAGATTTCCAAAGATAAGTTCTCTTATGATGTCTCATATAAGAAGATGTGGCATGCAAAACAAAAGGCAATACAAGCCGTGTTTGGTGATTGGGATAAATCGTATAAGATTTTGCCTAAATTTATTTCTGCGCTTGAAAAAAGTAATGATATGATTGTCGTGTGGCAGTTTGAAAAGCTGCAAAATCAAAATTTGGGAATTTTTCAGTGTATGTTTTGGGCTTTTCCACAATCCGTTGAGGGCTTCAAATATTGTAGACCCGTAATTAGTATTGATGGAACTCATTTGTATGGAAGGTACAAAGGAAAAATGTTGAGAGCCATGGGTGTTGACGGAAATAATCAATTATTTCCTCTGTCATTCGCTATTGTCGAGGAAGAATCTTTTGATAGTTGGAGGTGGTTTCTTAGTTGTCTCAGAGAGAAAGTTACTCAACGTCAAGGAATTTGTTTAATTTCTGATCGTCATAAGGGAATTACTGCAGCAGTAAATGATCCTTATTCCATGTGGCAAGAACCTTGGGGATATCATCGATATTGCTTGAGACATATATGCAGTAATTTCAATGACAAGTTCCATAATAAACAATTGAAAATGCTTGTTTATAGAGCAGGAAGTGCACACCAAGTGCGGAAATTTGATGACATAATGAAAGAAATTGACAAAACTAATCCAGATGCTCGTAAATGGTTGGACAAGATTCATCCACCACAATGGTCATTGGCTCATGATGGGGGTCGACGTTATGGAATAATGACTACCAACTTATCTGAGGTGTTTAATAGTGTGCTAAAAGGTGCTCGAAATTTGCCTATCACCGCATGTGTGCAACTAACTTTTTATCGGTTAGTTAAGTTTTTTTGTGTTAGACGAGGTTTTGTGGGAGATGCATTGGCTAAACAATACTTGTATACACCACATGTTCTTGCAAATATCGAAGGATATCGAGTGAAGGCAAACACACACGACATTGTCCTGTTTGATAGAGCGCAAGGAGTTTGTGAAGTAGTAACTGCCCCATACGGGGAGGGGATGCAAAAAGGACACAATAAACAAGTAGTCCACCTTTATGAAAAAACTTGTAGTTGTGGAAAGTGGCAAATTTATAAATTTTCATGCTCACATGCAATGACGGTATGCGGACAATTAGGACTTGATATTTGGCAGTACATTGAAGAGTACTACACAATTCAACATTACACCCAAACTTGGGTGTCTCAGTTTAGTCCGATTCCTCATGAAGATTATTGGCCGAAAGAGAATATTCCTCCATTGTTGCAGATCCTACTCGCAGGCGTTCAAAAAAAGGACGACCACAATCCACACGAATTAGAAACGAGATGGATATCAAAGAAGGTAAAACTAAAACACGGTGTGGCATTTGTAAAGAGGCGGGTCATGATAAGCGGACATGTCAAAAGAAGAGAAAGGAGATGGACTGACATCCAAATATGTTCCAGGTAATTTTTATGTCTTTGTTTTTGTATTCCAGTAACTATGCCTATGTATTTCACTTCATATTTTTAGCTAAGAATCATTGATGAAACTTTAGTTGTATTCTGTATTACTAGTCTCACTAGTTATTAGTTTAGTAGTCTGGCATGTTTGATCCGGTTTTTCATATGTTTGGTTTCTGGTACTTCTTACCCTTTGGCAATAGCATTAAAAAATGTCCGTTCAAATGCATGTATGTAGGAAATGTATATAATAATAAAATGCTTATTCGTCATATGTAAATATATATTTCATATACTTACACAATTTTATTTATGTGCAGATGGTGAGAGCAATGAATGGTACGAGTTTACGAGCAATGAATGTCATGTAGAAGATGCTCGTTTGAATGTTACAGAATTCTATAAATTTTTTACTTATTTCTAATCTCGGATACTTGTTTTTTTTTTTTTGCACTATGGGTGTATTGATTGCTACAGTGATATCTTCTCGGTCCTGTTCAGCTATTTTTGTTTTCATTCGGCATGGTTGTTTGTTCAAATAGTTTTATGTGAGCTAATGATACAAGTAGAATATATATACATAAATGCGCAATCATTTTAAATAATTAATTTAATCAACTTCCCGACCAGAAAATTTTAATATTTTTATGATCTAACAATTCGAAGTAATAGTTGATACCAACGAATAATAAAATTGAATTGTAAACATCATTTTCAGTAAAAAATAAAGTTATTATTATATTCAAAATGTAGTAAATTTTATTCTTGTTGTATTAAGCAAAGAAGTTAATAAGTATATAATAAAACAATAGAGTAACAACTAATTTCTTTGGTGGAGTGGAAGAACATCCTAAATCACACTAGGAGTGCAGGGGTTCGAGTCCCCTTGGTTGCAAATTTTTTGATATTTAAAAAAACATCTGAATGGGATGACATGGAGGCATGACGTGTCGAGCGGGTGACATGGAAATCCAAATAATCAGAATGGCGCGTCCAGCAGGATGACAAGGCAAAAAACACCTTTGTTTGGGAAATAAGTTTAAAACTACCCTAAATTGGGAAATAAGATTTGAAAGTACCCCTCATTGGGAAAAAACTCTTAAGTCTTTATATAAGAAGTTTTGTTCGGCCGTCGCCATTCGGATCAGTTATCGATAGACTTTTATGATGAATTTTTTTGAGCATTTTATTCATTAAGTGTGGTTTACTCATACCAAATTTCATCTAAAACTTAAATCGGGAAGGCATTCAAATAATGTCTTCCCGATTTAAGTTTTAGCTGAAATCTAGTATGAGTAAACTAGGCTTAATGAATAATATGCTCAAAAACTTTCATCAAAAAATACCAACAGGAACCTCCCAAAATGGCGACAGCCGGACAGTAAGGACTTATTTGACTTTTACCTCCTAAATAAAAGACTATAAAATCAATTCCACTTTTGGTTTCACAAGCATCGCACCAATTCTACCATTGCTTTACATCTTTAACTTTGACAATTTTTGGTACTTGAGTATTGTGTTTTCGTCCACATATGATCTTACCGTCAATATTTCCGATGTTTAAAATCACCAGAAAATCGAAAAGGACTACAAATGGTTAATAAAGATTAATCAAGCATCAAAAGTGAACAAAGTGAAAGACGTAGACTAAATGTGAAATTCACATAAAATTCATAGGACCAAAAGTGTAATTAATTCAAGACTATTATGTGTTTTCTTGAAGTAAAGCACTGCCCATCTTCTCATTCTTAAATAATAACCGAGGATAATTGTGATGTTATAATTGTATTATTTTTAACGGAAAAGATAATGTCCAATTGGAGGGACATGATCCTCCGTCCGGTCACCGCCGTTTGGGGACGGTTCCTGGTGGAACTTTTTGTTGAAGTTTTTTGAGCATGTTCCTCATATAGTTTAGTTTATTCACACAAAAGTTCAACTAAAAAATCGATCAGGAAGACTGCCAAATAATTTTTTGAAAATAATTGTATTCTATATGTATAATTTGGCGCGGTTATCTTCACAAAATTATTTGACTACCTTCCCGGTCAATTTTTTAGCTGATATTTCTTGTGGATAAATTACACTCAATGAGGAACATGTCCAAAAAAATTCATCCACCCCAAACGGCGGTGGCCGTACGGAGGGTCCTGTCCTCGGGCTAGACATGAGCAATTCTCTTATTTTTAGTATTTGATAATTACATTATCAATTAAAAGTGTTAATTGTTACTTAAAATAGAAATGAGAACATTTATATGGGTCGTTAAAAAAATGACCACTTTAAAATGGGAGAGGAGGAGTATTAAGTATTAACTTTACTACTTCGTAGCAGAACCGTTAAGATTGGTTGAAACCTGTGGGCTGGCTCGTTTCACACTGCATTAGTCAAGCATTTGATAATATTTTAAACCATAAATCATTCAGGACTAAATCATACTAGACTTCTGCAATTATAAGATACACAAAGATCATACATCTATCGTACGTAAAAAAACCTGGTCAAATCAACCCTGACTAGACTAGAATATCTCAATGCAAGTAAAAAATTTTGATCTCACCTAATTACACTTGATGAGGAACATGTCCAAAAAAATTCATCCACCCCAAAACGGCAGTGGCCGTACGGAGGGTCCTGTCCACGGGCTAGACACAAGCATTTCTCTTATTTTTAATATTTGATAATTACATTATCAATTAAAAGTGTTAATTGTTTCTTAAAATATAAATGAGAACATTTATATGAGACGTTAAAAAAATGACCACTTTAAAATGGGAGAGGAGGAGTATTAAGTATTAACTTTACTACTTCGTAGCAGAACCATCAAGATTGGTTGAAACCTGTGAGCTGGCTCGTTTCACACTGCATTAGTCAAGCATTTGATAATATTTTAAACCATAAAATCATTCAGGACTAAATCAGTCCAGACTTCTGCAATTATAAAATACACAAAGATCATACATCTATCGTACATAAATAGACCTGGTCAAATCAACCCTGACTAGACTAGAATATTTTAATGCAAGTAAAAGCATTTGATCTCACCTAATTTATATATTCGGATATAAATTATATTTCAATTCAAGTAAAAGATCACACATACAGATGTTTGACTGATGATAAAGCAAATGTTTACACTCTCATTATTTTTTAAAAATAAAATTTATATATTCGGAAACTACATTAAAAATTTTACAAAGTATGATAAATTTTTTTAATATATGATAAAAATTTGATATATAAAGTAAAAAATTAAGAATGATTTAAAATGATCATATGAATAGTGGACTGGAACCTTTGAATGGGACAGAGATAGTGGATAATAGATTTATTGGGAGAACTATCAAATAAGCCCTCGAACTTTCATAAAAAGTGCAAATAAGCCCTTTTATAGGATGTGCTGTCCGGCCGTTGCGATTTGGGGTGATTGCAGGTGGTTTTTTTTTGTTGAAATTTTTTAGTATCTTCTTCATTAAGTATAGTTTACTAATACCAAATTTCAGCTAAAAATTCAACCGGGAAGGCAGTCAAATGAATTTGTGAACATAACTGCGCGGTTAGACAGCGCAATATATTTCATAAAATCATTTGACTATCTTCTCAATTGAATTTTATCTGAAATTTGGTATGGGTAAACTAGATTTGATGAAGAAGATGCTCAAAAAATTTCATCAAAAAATTCTACCGAAAACCACCAAAATGGCGACATCCGGACAAAGCCTCCCGTAAAAGGGCTTATTTGCACTTTTTATAAAAGTTCGAGAGCTTATTTGATAGTTCTTCCTAGATTTATTAGTTCATGGAGTAAAATAATTCAAGAATCCCCATGATTTTTTTATCTTTAAAAAAGTTTTCTACGGACTATAGTTAATCATTTTATATGGCCCACAAAATAACAAAATACGGAGTAATAAAAAAGTTGTTTGGTCTTCTACTATTACGAAATAGTCACAAAAGGTCATGTACTCAATAAAGTGTCATATAAGTATCTCTACTTATATAAAACAATCAAATGAGTCTTAACGACTTATTTAACACTTCCTAATCCCGATTTTAGTTTACATGTCGATTTTTTTGACTTGTATTTCAACAAATCTTAATTAAATATTCGACGCATGTCGTATAATGTATTCTAAAAAGATGGTCAAAAGTACGTTGAAACCGGGATTAAGAGGTGTTAAATAGGTCATTAGGACTCATTTGATTGCTTTTTATAAGTAGATGTACTTATATAACACTTTATTGAGTACATGACCTTATGTGACTATTTCATAATGTGAAACCGGGATTAAGAGGTGTTAAATAGGTCATTAGGACCCATTTGATTGCTTTTTAGAAGTAGATGTACACTTTACTACTACATGCCTTTTGATCGTATTTTCAAGGGAAAAGGGGCAAATAAGGCCACGTACTAACCCAAAAAGTTCAAATAAGGCCTTATTTATGAGGCTCTGTCCGGCCTTCGCCATTTGGGTTGGTTCTCGCTGGAATTTTTTGATGAATTTTTTTGAGCATCTTATTCAGTAAGTCTAGTTTACTCATACCAAATTTAAGCTAAAACTTCAATGAGAAGCCATTCAAATGAATTCTTGAAGATAATTGCGCAGTTAAAAGCGCAGTTATCTTCAAGAATTCATTTGAATGCCTTCTAGATTAAATTTTTATCTGAAATTCGGTATGAGTAAACTAGACTTAATTAATAAGATGGTCAAAAAAAATTCATCAAAAAATTCCACCGAAAACCACCCAAAATGGAGATTGCCGGACAGAGCCTCATAAATAAGACCCTTATTTGATCTTTTTTGATTAGTACCTGACCTTATTTGCCCCTTTTCAAAGGCTGTTCTAAAAAAAAGACGATCCTAGCCGAAGGGGCAGGCTCTTACATGCTACATTTCTGGCATTGTAAATTGGAAGAGTTGCTGGTTCTTGGGCACGAGACATGTCATCTGTCACACCAGCCGTGGAAACAGCTTTTTCTGTTAATTCCGAACGCCCTCTCTCGTACCCTAAGCCCCAAGCTGAGTTCCAAGAAATCGTTCGAAACCCGGAGCTTTTCTGGCAAAAGCTTCAAGCTTTTCACATTTCATTGGGTGCCAAATACTTGTTAGCCATCTCTTTCTTTCTTCATCTTTATCTTTATATTTATATGTATCTTTATATTTTATGATATTTTCATGCTTCTCTAGTGCTTATTTGTTAGTTAGAGCCTTAGAGGTTCTAGAGCTCAACTGCTCAAGAATTTCTTTGCTGATGGATGTCATTACTATAATTCTCACTTTTACCTCTTCTATTTTTATTGGTGATTAAGTTTTTCCATATGCATCACCTATGTGTATATTTCATATGCGCTCCCTGTATGCTTGCAAAATTATTGAGCAGTATCGTGATGTGGATACTTGATTGACTCCAAGAGTCTATTTTGGCTAATTGGCATTGCTGGAACCCTAGCTCACGCAGCAATGTGAGTTTCGGAATTTTGTTCAAAAATATAATGTCCATTTATTTTAAAGAAAATGCACGATTAAATGATCAATCTTTACTTTGAAAGTGATGAATGTTAAAATGCTGGAGTGATGCGGCCATTATGAACATCAATCTCAAGAATGAAGTTATAGGTCTGGTGATGTTATGGGCCCGGGCTTGAGATTGCATCATGAGGCAGTGTGATGGGTGAAGAAGGAAGCTAATGAATTTGAGGGGCGAGATAGTATAGCATTAGTAGTAATTATAGAGTAATAGTAATAGGAGATGTTGAGTTCTCCCAAGCTGCCTAGGTAAACAATAAGGGCACTTTTCTTTTGATCCTCTCTATTTAAAAATATGTCTTCTCTTAAATAGAGGAAGGTGGGATTCAATGCTTAAGGGAGAGGCAGGGTAGGATCTATGTATGAGCTATGGTGGGTTGAAGCTCAAGGCAACTTAATTTTTTCCAATTTTTTTAGAGTAATTTTTTTCGTTTTTCATATTTAGCACACCCCTATAATGTTTAAGCCTAGACGCCTAGTATAATTGCTATTCAACCTAGGCCATCCCAAATTTCTGGATCCGCCCCTGCCGGAGAGGGAGATAACTTTCGTAACATTTATTGGAGAATAATGCCTAGTGCATTGCTATTCTTACACCTATGCAGAAGTAACAACCCACTACAAAATAGCTCACAATCCTCACATCACTGCATTGCAAACAAACTAATACGGAGTATATTAATAATAATTAAGTAAACCTTGAAGCAGGAGTCTTTAAAATTTATAAGAGAGAGCTAATGATGTATACATAGTTACATATATATTTTTTATGTGTATTTGGTCAATCAGTTGATAACTTGATGTACACCACAAACCTTTGTTTCCCCACTGCTCAAACTAACTGTTTGAATAACTTGATGTATATAAAATGCAATATTGCATAGCCATAACTTCTATTAACATACACCACCATGCCAATGACAAACCGTCAAAGTAAAAATCCGGTGCACCCAAGGTAGTCAAAAGCGCTCGCCCCAGCGCCTAAGTGCACCAGGCGCAGCGAGCAGGGCCTTCAGCGCTTGGGAGAAGGGGAGGCGCACGTACCTGGGTCAGGCGCAGAATAAGCGCATTAAGCGCATGAAGCGCTGAAGCGCAGGAGGCGCACGCCTGGCTCGCCTGATCCAGAAAAGGCTGTCAAGCCTTTTTTTGGTTTAAAACTTTAAAAAATAATTAGCCCATATCTTTAATAACACTCAGCCCATCTAAATAATAGGGTAAAACCATTTAAACCTACGTAAAAGCTTTAAGTAAAGTACGTAAAAACTTAAAACCTCGCGACTAAGTTATATCACTAGCCATCATCGGCTCTTCAGCCTACTCACTCTTCTGACTCAGTTGCTCTACACCAGCCAGTTCTTTCAGTTTTCTTCATCATCTTAAGCAAACTCAGTTCTCCCTCACACCACTAAACAAGATATGTGTTCTTCTTCATGCAGTCTTCTTCATCCAAATACTCTTATAGTATATTTCTATGTATATAATAAAGTACTAGTATATTACTATGTATATATTATATAATACTCTATATTACTCGTGATAATGTATTAATACTCTGCATTACTCTATTACTCACAGCACTAGTATATTGTTATGTATATAATAAAGTAATAGTACTCAGTATTACTCTATATTACTCACAGCATTACTATATTGCTTTGTATATAATAGTCATAATACTCTATTACTCTATGATACTCACAGCACTAGTATATTGCTATGTTATTAATAAAGTAATAGTACTATGTAGGCTCACAAGTTTAACAAGGGGAAATAGGCTCCAAATTGATTGTCTTTTATTTATAGTTTTAGTATTAAAGCCATGAATTCTGAATTTGGTGTTTTATTTTTTGTAAATCATGACTTTATTTTGGTGAATCCTGGATTTTATATGCATTCGGTTCAATATGATGTGACATACATCATATTTGGTAATTATAGAATAGTATATGTTATTTTATCTAAGTAATGCGCTTCAGCCGAGTCAGGCGAGCGCTTTATTTGCGCCTTGCGCCTCAGGCGCTGGAAGGCCCCTAGCGCTTCAAGTGCGCCTTTCGACTTTGACTACCTTGGGTGCACCAATATTTCCTTACCGCTCCTCACCTTGAAACACGTGTCCAACCAAGGATAAGAGATTTATAATGCAATAATTTACACGGGTACACACGTGACATGAGACTGATAGACACAAAAATAAAGTAAGTACAAAATATCTCTCTTACTCTTCTATTTCGCTATATTTTTGGTAAATTTACTCTGGAACTGGACATTGTGGGAAAAAAAATCTCCAGAAATATACATTGTGGACAAAAGATATAAAAATATAGAATATTATGAAAAGACAGAGAGAGAGAGATTCAATGCTGTGAAAACCGGACCCTTTTTCATCTTCTAACAAACGCATTGATATTGTCCTTGAATAGTGTTTTCTTAAGAGTAAATTCACTTATTATCACCTAAAGCTATTGTGCCCACAAAAAGCGATTGCTAAAGGTTCTCGTGGTTTGAAATTATAATAGCATCCCACCAGAACCCAAATATGTGTCATCCCCAATAGATGCATAGTCACACACCTGACACCTCACTTATAGCATTGCAATTTTGGAATCACGTTGTTTTGGAACTATACTCACTTTAATGAAAATATGAAATCTACCCATTTATAGTTGAGGTGTATGACTATTGATGATATGTATTTTGGTCGGGTTTGGATGTTTTCGTGTTTCACAACCAGGAAACTTGTAGTTATCCTTTGTGATGACCCAGTTGATTCTGAGTTTGATGAAAATAAGTCATCTTTTAACAAAACACAGTGTCATCAAAAGCCAAAAAATAGTATTTAGTTTGTGCTGATGTCAAGTTCCATGAATCTGTTTCAAAATGACGCACATATAGAAACCATTGGCACACCTGTTTCTGGCTCGAAGGGATTTGGCATTGGCCTGCTGGTTTTGTTGACAGAGGCTGTGATTATGCAGTACCTGCATCATATAACAACAGTTTATGCAAACAAATGAAACAATTAATTTGAACTCTGTAGGAGCAAGCGAACAGAGTGCACAACAGAAAGTAAAGCGGGCAAATAAAAACAAACGAACACACACACACACACACACACATAGAATTAGGTTCAAGTGAGAAAATGATCTTACGAGAGAAATGAGAATGAATCTGGACCGTTAAATTGTATTATGTGAAATTGAATGTGCATTAGCTGAAATCGAAATGTGCAGCACAAAAGATAAGACATAGTGGTATTATGTGAAGAGATTGTATTATGTGAAACTGAAATGTGCATTAGCTAAAATCAAAATGTGCATCACAAAAGATAAGGCATAGTGGTATTATGTGAAGCTGAATTGTGCATTAGGGGGAACTGAAATGTGCACTATGGGAAACTGAAATGTGCACTAGCTGAAATTGAAATGGGCAGAATAAAAACTACGATGTGGTAGCATTTTTGTGCTTTTTATTTTGCACATTTCAATTTCACATAATGCACATTTGAGTTTTACTTTTCATTTTGCACATTTCAATTTCACTTAATGCACATTCCAGTTTTACCAAATGCACAATTCAATTTCACATAATACAATCCAACGGTCCAGATTCATTCTCATTTCTCTCCTGGAAGTCCTTTCTCACTGGAACCACTCCTTAGTATATACTAATATATATATATATATATATATATATATATATATATATATATATATATATATAAATATAATAGTATATACTAAGGAGGGGTCATATATATATAAAAGTTCTCATTTTATGAAGGGTTCTCACTAGAACCCTCCCCTATATATATATATATATATATATATATATATATATATATATATATATATATATATATATAGGGGAGGGTTCTAGTGAGAACCCTTCATAAAATGAGAACTTTTAATCTCATCCTTTCATTTATTGCAATCATTGATGATGATTCACATGGGGTCATATTCATAATTACCCCAACATCAAATGGGATCTTTTTGAAATTAATGCTAAATAATTACAAAAATGCCACCTTGTCATTATTATCCATTGATTCTATAAATGAATGATGGAGATTAAAAGTTCTCATTTTAAAAAGGGTTCTCATTTTAATAGGGGTTCTCACTAGAACCCTCCCCTATATATATGCACATATATATGCGCGCGCGCACACACACACACACACACACACACACACATATATATATATATGCGCGCACACATACATATATATATTATTAGCTACCTCTTTTGAATTATAAATACTTGCTTTAAGAAATATTATGGATAAAAATACTACTGCCTCCGTGCCGTTGAAAGGTTCCCATGTCAAAATGGCACAATTATTTAGACAATAATTAAATAAGGTAGTTCGAGTATGTTTTGAAAAATAATTTTAATAGGTATATAATATAATGAGGTTAGTGTTGATAATTGTGATGTTATAAATGTATTATTTTTAATATTTAATGATTAATTTGTCATTTATGATTGTTAATTGTTTCCTAAAATGGAAATGAGAACCTTTATATGGGACGTACAAAAAAGGAAAGTGAGAACCTTTCTATGGGACGGAGTGAGTAGTAAATTATGATTAAAGAAGTATGAGAAGTACTATAAAAAAAGTCAACGTGACCACTCCATTTTAATTTCTCCTTTCAGGATTCCTACTGTAGCAGGAAAGCCTCTAGACCTTTACCGCCTTTTTGTGGAGGTTACGTTGCAAGGAGGAATTGATAAGGTATGTTTTCTTAATGGTCATATTTATGTTCATTGCCCACTTCTAAGACGGAAAAAGCACTTTATCTGGAACAGGAGAATATTGACCATCACGTTCAGTGTTATTTTATGTACAAACTTTGAGTTCAGTATACTAAAACTTATTTGTAGTGCTACAGAAGTCAGAAACATTAAAACATGTTCTTGTAGGATCATAGTATGCAACTTATCTCATCATACTCAATGGTACTACATTTCAACTCTAGATTATTTTATGTATGTAAGAGTGAGGAGATCTAATTATTATGTGAAAGTAAAATGCATTTTATTGTTCATCCATTGGTGAAATTCTAGCTGTTTGAAGGACCTGACTTTCTAATAAATACTTGAAACTTCTGCTCTTGGATGAACAACAAGTCCGAACATAACAATGTCATTTTAATAGCTGCAAAGCCATTTATCCTTGATCATAACTTTTCCTACTCTTTTGTATGACTACTGGACAATGCTGTATTGTATATGCGTTATGTGGATCACATCTTATGATGGACAGGTTATTAGAGATCGACGATGGGAGGACGTGATTGGGGCCTTTAGTTTTCCGTCCTATGTAACAAGTCCATCGTTCCTCTTGAGAAAGTACTACCTCTCTGTGCTATATCACTTTGAGCAGGTCTATTACTTCCGCAAGGAAAAGCCTTCATCTGCCACTGGTACCTCCAGAGTCCAGACACTGATTGATAAATTATACACACGAATTCTCGGTGTAGCCAGGTCGTCTTATTGGGTGTGCAAAATGGGTTATCACAATGAGCTCCTAATTTAGAAGCCCAACATTTTGAAAATATAGTCTATATATGATGCAAAAACTTTTAAATTTTTCTTGAAAAAGAGAGTTGTTTTAGTATTTTATTTTGAAAAAAATAGTAAAATAAGAAAATGATATTATAATGTGTGAAACATATTTCAAAATTAAAACTGCACTAGGACTCGTAATAGTGTAAAATTGCCTTGCATCTAAGATAAGCTTGAGGTGAACCCCCCAATGGTGGGCAAGAATTATCGACTTATCGAAGTTCTTTCACAGTGCAAAGAGACTCATTTCTGTCGCACAACGATAGAAGACCTTATCTTTAAGCTAATATCACTCGCTGATCTTTATTAGTAAATGGAAAGGGGTATTTATAGTCCCAGACAGAACAATCACAATAGCTCTAAGAGACTAGTTCTATGAATCTAAGAACGAGCCAAGAAATCAAATGGTAATAGGAAAGCTGATCCTACCACTAAGCAATTAAGAAGGATAGTAATAGGAAAGCTAATCCTACCACTAAGAAATTAAAAAGGATAGCTTGGGCCCAAGAATAGGAGTGCTGCTTTGGTGGGTCGTCTTACCATGACCCTGCCGAACTGTTCTCATCATTTGAATCTACGCAGATCCTACAAGCAAAACTTCCAGTTCCTTACAAACCATGCATCCTGTGGATGGTGATGCCACCAAGATTGGACATTCAGGTTAGCTTTTAGACTGTTAGTGCAGACTATTAACAGACACAAATCCTTGATAAGAACTATTCAAACTTCACACACCTAGTTTCCAACGTGATATGCAGAGACTCCCAACAGTCTTGAAGTTGGCAACTCAGTTATTGGCACAATTGATGCTAAGTTTGAAGATGGCTATGTAATTACTGTGAATATGGGTTCGGAGGTATTGAATGGTGCTCTTTATCATAAACCTATACAACCACACTCACCTCAAAGTGCTAGTACTTCTAGCGGACCTGCGAAACAGACTAGAAAGAAATACCAGCTTGCACTACCAGATCACTCTCGACCACGTCAAAATCTAAGTGGCTACAATTTCTTTTATGCCGAACAATATGCCAAGCTTAAGCCTTCACATCAGGGCCATGCAAAAGCTATCAGCAAGGAAATTGGGCTGTTATGGAGCCGGCTCACAGATGCTGAGAAACAGGTAATATTTTTAATATTCAAAAAATCCTATTCAGGGTATCTGCATCTCACGATACACCATAAATTAACTCATAAGTTAGGCATCTTCTTTTGTACTGAAGATCGCTGGTTTGGTTTAGTTTATTCTCTTCTGGTATGGTTGCATATTATTAATTTTCACGAATAAACTTGTGCACCTATATCAAGAAGGGATAAAAACAAATATACCCTTGGACTATAGGACAGAGAAGATGTGAACCTACATATAAAGTTGGAATGAATATACACTTGAGCTTTGTATTAAAGAATGTATATACCCCTTCACTATTAGGACAAACAAGCCTACAAGGTGTATAAGCTCTCTAATTTATAATTGAGAAAAGGGTCAAATGAGCCCTCAAACTCTTATTGAATCTGCAAGTGGGCCCTTAATTGGATACTTTATGTTACACCCCTTAACTCTTCAGAAAAAAACAATTGAACCCTTTTTTACCTGATGGTGCAACTAAGTCGGTAACATGGATGTTACTGGCACCAGCTGGTAAAAAGGGCTCAATTGCTTTTTCTTAATGACTTGAGGGGTGTATATGTAAGGTCATTCTCTTAAAGGGTCAAGTTGCAAAATCGCTAATAGTTATATGATGCTTTTCTCTTTAGAGTTCAATAGTATATGTTCTAACTATACAAGTTTGATGTTTAACTGTTCCAAAAGAAAGCTGACGGGTATACTGTTCTCTTACATATACTTCGGTTAAGTATGTCAACGGGCCAGGTTTAGACTCTGACCCGCCCTGACCCGCTTATTTTTATTTCAGATATGAGTTTATATTTTATTCCATTTACCCGGATCTGCATCCATTATTTTATTATTATTAATGGGTCGGATACAGTACATGTGATCCCGACCCGCTAAGGACCCATGCCCGTTAGAAATTCTCATAGTTTAACCCATTATTAACACACACTGACTGGACAGACATATATATAAACACAAACCCACATCTAGTGACTACTTTTTACACACATGAGTACATGATACATCTTTTTTTATTTTAAAAGCAAACACTTGTTTTTCTTTTTCTTTTGGGAAAACTATCAAATAAGATCCCCAACTTTTCACAAAAATCAATTAAGCCCCTGAACAGGAAGTCCTCTCAATCAAACCCCCGAACTCATTTAAAAATGGCAAATCCTCTTTCTACCCGGTAATGAACAGGTTACCCGTTTTTTCCTTTTTGTTCCACCTTCTTTCTCCTTCTACCAGTCCCTTTCAGCTCTCACCCCCTTTCTTTTCCTCCCACCTTTCTTCCCCTTCCGCAGTTCCACCTATCATTTCTTCTTTTGGATATCTCGTGTATTATTGGTGTTGTACGATTAGAGTCCCGTTCACGTGAACTAAAGTTTCATTATTTACAAAATTTGGTCTGGAATTAGAGCCTCACTCAAATGTGTAAGATTGATTTTGTATGATTATATTAGAGTCATACTACATGTATTAGACTCTCATCATTTGAAGATTTTAATTTAAAGAATTTAATATTGTACAATTATTTTGGAAACTAAATTGATATGGTATTTATTCCGAGAATTACACTCTACTAATATGGTTATTATTAAGAAGTTGTTCTGTATGCCTGATATGTATATTTATGATCTGAAATTTTTAAGATCTGGTCTGATAATTTTTCTGATCTGGTCTGATCATGTATGATCCCGCATTGTGAATCTTTCTGGTCTGATCTGATCTGAATCTTTCTGATTTAATCTGAATTTTTCTGATTTTGATCTGATCTGAATCTTTCCGATTTGATCTAAATGTTTTAATGTGATTGAGTGTTTATTAGAATTATTAAGTTATTAATATGATTATCATTGTCATCATTATCTTTATATTTATAATTATAATTATCATTATAACTATAACTATACATATAATTATAATTACAATCATAACTATTACTATAATTATAATATCATTTTATTATCGTTATATTTATCCTTATTTTTATAATTGCCATTATCATCAATAATATAATATTATTGATAATTACATATCCTTATATTGCGCTATCAATACTATTATAATATGTTGTATTACTATTATAATTAAATTATAGATACCAATAACCTACAATTTTATAATAATATTCACTTATAAATACTGATAATAATAAAAATACATTTTTAATAATATAGTTAAATAATAATATTATCATTGATAATAACCATAGTAATAATATATGATGTTTTATGAATAACAATAACATACAAATAATGATTAAAATAATAACAATATTCATAATTAATTTTAAAGGAAGCAACCTACAATAATAACCTACAATAATATTTAGATCAAATCGGAATCATCATAATGGTAAAAGTAATAAATTATGTTTGAACCCCCCTGATTTGATCCTAGTGTTTCTTGTTTGATTTCAATTTTTTATTTAATTTTGTCTCGTTTGAATGTTTTCGTCTAATCTGATTTGTTTTTTATCTGATCTGGTTTGAATAAAATAAGAACAAGTAATATGGAGTAAACAATAAGAACAAGAGTAACATAATAGCTTCTAAGGATATCCTTTTTATGTTTTTTCTCCTACTTTTTCTCTAGACATCTAGACATCTAGACATTTCCATTAGACGTTCCATCTCCGTTACAAACGAATTAAATGTTTTAATGTGTAGAGTCCCTTTTCTCTAGACATAATGTCAGGTGTTAGTTATTTAAGGTTTTTCCTCTTTTTTTTCTTCTCCCTTTTCCATTATAGATGTTCCATCCCTTATTGTTTGGAACAAATTAACGTTTTGATGGTAATGATGATATAATTTTTGTTAAACAATAACACAATGATATGTCAGCAGTTCGTAACCCTATTTTACTAAATAAAACTAAATTTAATTATTTAACAAAAATGCCCATTCATAACAATTCTATTGGCATTCAATATATTCTTGATCGAGAGCATTTTTGTCTTTTCATACGGGGTTGTGGTGCAAATACAAAGTTTTTAAAAATAGGGTGCAATATCAAATTACCCCTTTTATTTTTATCTTTTCAATCCCTTTATACTCCCTCCGTCCTATTTTAGTTAGCCAGACTTTTCCAGACAATGATGCTAAACTTTGACTGATAATATATTTATATATGAAAATGATATGAAAAATGTTCTTTGGTAAATATACTATCATAAAAGAAAAATTGCAATATTGTTAATTTCATATTGGATGGGTCTACCCGACCTAGATCCGGGACTTATTGGGTCTGGGTCTGGAACAATAATTTCAGACCCTTCCCGTATGCGGGTTGGATCTCAAATTATAAATCAGTTGGTGGGTCCGGCCCAGGCCCGATATGCCCACTTGAGTGGTATTTCCATTGCTTGCATCTCCCATTTGAGGAATATGGTCACTCTTCTATTTCTTTCAGGTTTATCAGGAAAAGGGTTTGCGAGATAAGGAGAGATACAGGGTTGAGATGCTTGAATATAAGTCCTCCCAGCCTGTACAAACTTAAGACATATATGGATGGTGTATTGGTGTATAATTTCTGGTGTGATGAATATACCCCCTCCTGGAGGCTCTTTATTTATTTATCACAAGGGAATTTGGCATTTTCCTGTTTTTATATTTACAAGGGTAATCGTTACTTCTAACTAGGGGTGGACCAGGTCATAACCAGAACCGGCCGGTTCCTAGGACCAGTTTGCCCTGTTCGATTAGGAGACTGCCCCCTATGGGGTTAACGAGTGCCGGTCCCGGGCTTGGTTTGCAGGGATGGGAACCGGTAGGTCGGATCCCGGTTCGGTCTTTTTATTTTTATTTTTTATTTTTTTTTTGCATTTCAAGCTTTAGAAGCATTTATTTTAAGAGGTGTAAATTCATTTGAAAGCTATAAAGGGTATAGAGGGGGGTTGGGGTAGTTAAAATTATTAAAAAAAAAAAGGATTGGGATTGAGACCGGGACTGAAATCAGCCCCAAACCGGAATAACCGGCATTGGTCTTGGTTCAAGCCTCAAGGTATCTCAATTCTCAAACCCCAAAACCTCGGGACCGGAACTAACCCAGAAGAGGGATCGGTCCTCCCCTACTTCCCTGTCTTGTGAACAACCAATGCCATAATTCCTTCAGTTATGCATATGTAGAGAAACAAATAGTTTATATAGTTTGACTTTTTACTTAAGCATTTTGTATTTAATTGTATTTAAACATAAATTGTATGACATCGTATTTAAGAATTTTGGTAATCACGTAAAATATTTCATTTGAGCGGAGAGAATACTTTACATCATTATTAATACGTAGTATAAAAAATGCAAATACTTCGCTTGCAATCTAAATTAGCGTCACACACTCACACAGTCACACCTAACTAGATGCGTAATAATTGGTTCCCAACACTTGGCATGTGAACATTTTACAAGCAAAATCTTAATCTGGAACTATCAAACACCCTTTCAGCCGTTTCAGAGTTATGTCATGATTTATACGGACATCGTTTTTCTTTTCACCCACAAGATATGAATTATATCTCCATATTGAAACTTGAATGAACCGTTGATTGGAATCGGTGGCTCGGAACTGGAATCTTAGGTCTTGATCTCAAGCTTCGATATATAAATGGCAAGAGTGCAAGACCATTCGGTTTCGGACCGGAATCAGTCCACTCCTAGTCCAATCTCTCAACCATTTTTTTGGGTAGGTAATAGGGGTGGACATGCATCTCTCATCTTGATTTCATTCTCAACCGTTTCATATCTTTGGGCTTGAGCCAGTGCCTTTGAATTGTATTCATGGGGTTCATCTCGAGTGATCAGTACAACTCTCCTATAAGTAGGGTGTTGGTGAATAGTGTGGTCGCGGTTGATAGATCCATATGTTCGGGATTTAGGTTTTGCCCTTCCACGTGACTAGGAATGCTTTAAGGACCTCGTCCATCCTATCGTCTTATTATTTACACCGTTGAGACAGGTGAAGCTTTTTTTAGTATTGCTAGAAGCAAATTGGGCAAGGAAAAGTTGAGAGAGATCTTCAAAGCTGTCAATTAAGCCTAATATTATCGGATCGAACTACTCTTGTGCAGGTCCCTTGATGGTGGTGATGGAAAAAAAATTGGACATGGCTTCATCAAGGGTGCCCTTGAGCATGAGTCCCCTGATGCAAGATGAGGTTAGCCATGTCGTCGCTTGTTCCATCATATGTCAGGTTGATTGACTCTCTACATTTTTTCTAGATGGTTGTGTTCATCACCGATGGTCATGGGGTAAAGGGGGAAGTAACGCTAGTCCTCCAATTGGCTAAAACTTCATTACATTGTTTTGCTATATCGATGGCCTATCTCTTTAGATCTTTCATGGGGCCGTCCTGAGCCATCCCAAACGATGCCACAACCACCATCGTGGCCAGATTCCGAGTCAGAAGTGTTTGTAGGGCATTGTGAGGCACAATTCTTACATCATTGAGGAACACCTTCCTTGGTTCTACCGCACGTCCTTGACTCAAGGTGACCCCGAATGGGATGCCGGTGTACCGTTGAAATTTGCCCCCTTATCATGGCTATTTCTTGAACTGCCTATGGGTCTGAGCGAACGTTCTCAAGAATTAGATTGGCAAGCTTCATGTCTTCTTCCAATCTATGAACAAAGGGACATGTTGGTGATAGAGTATATCTAGAGAGAAGTGAGAGCTAGAGAGAGAAGTGCAATAATATGCTTCAATAGAATGAATTTGTCACCCCTATAACTACTCCCAAGGGGAGTATTTATAGAGAAAATACGGGCTGGGCTCCCAAGCCTTGGGCTTGGGAGGCCCATTTACAACTGGACCGCTACTGGGCCGAATACAAAGCCACTAATGGGCTGTACAAATGAGTAAGTATAAAATCCGGTTCTGTGAGGTCTTCGTGGCCGAAGAGGGCGTGGCCGACGAGGGCACGGCCGACGAGGGCACGGCCGACGAGGGCACCCGGGTTCCTTGGGCTCAGGACCATAATCTGAGTTGGCACCTTTTCGGCCGACGGGGGTCCCTTGGCCGACGAGGGCGCCACTCAGTGTCTTGTGCTTTCTGCTCTTCTGAGTATGTGGGTCCGGGGGCTCAGACCCATATACTCCATCAGGAGTCCCCCACTCTCTAAGCTGAGACGTAGACGAAGTGAAGGAGAGTAGATTCCCGTGCTTTAGTGATTTTGGCCGATGCGGGCATTCCCGGGCCGTTAGCTGTTGCGGCGTTGGTGTTGTTTCCATTTTGGTGATCCTGTTCTGTGCTTTGGCCGTTACCCGTTCCTCGCTGTGGGCGGGGAGGCCGTTGTTTCCTTAATGTGTTCGTTTGAGGACGACAAGTGTCCTGCTTCAATGGTGGCCGTTGAAGGTACGCTTTCCCTTTCCTGGACGTTGATGGTCGAAGTTTATGTTTGGGCCGATGAGGCCACTGAGGTTGAACCTTGCTTTTGAGGACGATGGCGTCCTTTCCTTTGGGTGGCCGATGAGGGTGTTTGCGCACTCCTTTTGGCCGTCGCTGATTGGCCTTCGTGTTCTTGGCCGAAGAGTCCATCATGATTAACTGTTGGCGGAGGACGATGAGTGTCCTTGCCTTAAGTGGCTTGTTGGCCGTTGTTGATGATGTTATGTGCCTCTGGCCGATGAGGAGCCGTTGTGGTGCGTGGACGATGTGGCCATGCTTTGTGGTTACATTCATGTTCTTTGTATTGTTCCTTTCTGTTTTGTTGAGGCCGATGTAGTCCCCCAGTCCCCCACTGCTTCAGGCCGAAGAGTGTGAGGGGTGAAGGAGTTGCTTGAGTCCCTGGCCGAAGCGGCCTCTCCGTAGTCCCCCTGAATCCAACCCTCATGGCGATTTTCTGGCCAAGGTAACCCTGTGGGAGAACCCTTGTGCGCAGATCGCTTGTAGAGAGTTATTATCAAGGGTCATTACGAGGGGCCGATGGCTGTGGGCTCTTTGTTCGTTTTGTTCTGTGGCCGTTACGGGCGTTCATTACGTTCCTAGCCGTTGACATCCCCTCATTGTTTGGCATTTGTGATCTTGGCGAGCAAGTAGGACGTTGTGGGCGCTTGCTGGCACTCGTGAAGCCGGCACGTGTATAGGCCGTAGAGTCTGTTTTGCCAGTGGGCTGTTGACATGTAGTTTGGCCTGTTGGTGACGTGGTGGCCTCCCATTGGTGGCCGCTGATGTGGCCATTGGGAGGGTGCCACGTGTAGTGACCGTTGGGTGGGGGGTTCTATAAATACCCCTCCCCCTCCGACGAGAAAACGTATTTGCATTCTGAATTGTCGAAGTGCTGGCCAATTTTCTAGAGAGATAAACTCCCAAGCTTGTTCTTCGTGTTCAAGGTTAGTGTTCATCGCAATCTTCCTCACTTTTCATACTTCGCTTCCTAGGCTAGTGATCTAGTGTTTAGACGTTTGAACACCCTTAGATCCTAAGTTAATCTCCTTAGGCTCGTAGTAGTAGTTATGATGAAGAGCTTGAACGAAGACTACTACCCGTACGACGACTAGCCCTCCACTAGGTCACTCGACTACGAGGTGCTCGAGGAGTTCGAGGAGGAGATAGAACATTTAAGCCCGTACAAGTCCGGGGAGCCGGTGGACGACGAAGTCGAGGACGAGGAGTCCGCCTCGTCTTCAAAAGGTGAGGACGCAGCTGCGTCCCGAGTGGTGGACGGGACGTCCACTTCAGCTGCTATTCCGTGCCCGCGGTCGGTGTCCGCCGTTAAGGGAGCCGATAAGCCGAAGAGAGTGAGGAGGCCGAAGAGAGAAGTGCAATAATATGCTTCAATAGAATGAATTTGTCACCCCTATAACTACTCCCAAGGGGAGTATTTATAGAGAAAATACGGGCTGGGCTCCCAAGCCTTGGGCTTGGGAGGCCCATTTACAACTGGACCGCTACTGGGCCGAATACAAAGCCACTAATGGGCTGTACAAATGAGTAAGTATAAAATCCGGTTCTGTGAGATCTTCGTGGCCGACGAGGGCGTGGCCGACGAGGGCACGGCCGACGAGGGCACCCGGGTTCCTTGGGCTCAGGACCATAATCTGAGTTGGCACCTTTTCGGCCGACGGGGGTCCCTTGGCCGACGAGGGCGCCACTCAGTGTCTTGTGCTTTCTGCTCTTCTGAGTATGTGGGTCCGGAGGCTCAGACCCATATACTCCATCAGTTGGTTCTATCCCCGGGCTTGATCCTAGTCTTGAATTTTCCCACACTGAACCCAGCGGAGAGCCGGTGACTGAGATCTTCCACAATGTTAGCTGATTTCCTTGACATTGCCTCATGGTGATTGAATAAAATATTGGTTGTTTCCTTAACTTAGGGTAAACAAACATAAACTTCACTCAAGGTCCCACAAACGGCACTAGTGTTGAAGTGAATTGATATGGCCCAAAAGCCCAACACAAAACTTTTAGGAGTGTTCTGATGTATGGGATGGGAATGGTGTAGGTAATAAGTGAGGAGAATCAAAATTTAAACTTAAACCCATTGAATTAGGCATGTAATTAATGAACCGGCTCATAAAAATACTCAAATTTAGCTCTTAGTATTACACAAGTACTCTCTAACCACTCTCTGATACAATTGCTATAATGAAAGGAAGTAAATGTTCTCGCTACCGATGATGGTGTAGTTATAGGAGGATATGGTAGTTGAAAGTTCATTGGATTAACCACTATCCTTCAATGTCTTCTCATATCCATATATTAAATGCTTTCCCTTCATATCTCAGGCATCAAGAAAAAGGGTTACACCCCAAGCATTAATCCTCATCTGCTATGATATGGAAATTGGTCTCCTCAGTTCAGGATGCTCGAGATCCCTCTCGAACGTCCTATATGTTTACCTTCTCCGCCGCCCAGGGGTGGACACAGGGGAGGTTGGCGGGGGCCTCAGCACCCCCAAGAAAAAATTTTAATGTATATATGTATGTATAAATAATTATAAGAAGTAAAAAATGTAGTGAAATTTTAAATTTGAAAAAGCAACACCGAATATTTGGGAACTCCATTCAATTTGATGAAGACTCTTACGATAACTCAATATTCACTTTATTTTGAAGAGAAAAATCAATATTTTCCAATTCAATTTTCTATCGGAGGTCCCACATTACTTTTATCGAACATAATGATGCGAATCGAGCCTTAATGAGTTCTAATATGCAACGGAAGAAAGAGATCTAGAAGAAAAAAACAATCTGCCGAATCGAGCCTTATGAAGGAAATGCTCAAAGTAGATACTCCCTCCGTCCCGGAAAATTAATCCCACTTTGACTTGGATCGGAGTTTAAGAAAGTGGGAATAAAGTGGAAATGTATGGTTGTGATTGAGTAAGAAAAAGGTAAATGAATGTTAGCCACACAAAACTTTCCAAAAAGGGAAATGAGGACAATTTTTTGGGACGGCCCAAAAAGGAAAATGAGACTTATTTTATGGGACGGAGGGAGTATATGTTTGGACCAACTTAGGCCATTGGTCAAGATCCCAACAATATCATTCGTGCCATTTATCAAATCATTACCTCCCATTTTCCTGTAATTTTCATTTGACATTATGCTTAGGGTCTACCCTTTAGAATTGGAGAAATTGTCCTAAATAGAACTAAAAACATGTGTGTGTTTTAAAATATGATTGTCATGTTTTTATTCTTTAAATAGGAGTAATTACGATCATGTTTTGGCATTATCAAATTTAAGATAACAGTCCTATTTTAGGATTTTCAAAAGCTTTTACTTCTATTTCAGGAATTTTCCCTAGAAATAGATCAATGTAATAAAGAAAATGTTACAAGTACAAACAAACTTACAAAAAAACTTACAGGAGATGTGGCTAATGTAATTACCTTTAAGCAAAAGTGATGCAATGTGTTAAATAAGGTGATGCTATCACATACATCTTTTGTAGAACTTTCAGGTCGTTTGGTAGCACTCTTTTTCGGCTTATCAGACTTATCACCTAACTTTTTCACCAAACACGTAACTTTTGCTTTCGCGCGCTGAATTGTGTAATAAGTAGAAAAAGTAAGGTTGGAGTTACTTTTCTGGCTGTATTGGCTGAAGTTACTGTACATGACCATTTTAGCTATTTTTACATATAATTTTTTCTTTACTTTATAAATAAAAAATATTTAAAAAATATTTTTTTCTTAAATCATCAGAATCAGCCAATGCAGCCACTTCAGCCAGAACTTCATAAATTTCAACAGAATCAGCCAAATCAGGCGATTTTCATGCTACCAAACGGGCTCTTTGTGTAAGAGTGTATGTACCTCTAGTATAACTCATGTAATAACGTTTCTTTATGTATATTGTAACGCGTAATGTCTCTGTGACATGTCATTTTCGCAAGCTATGGAGTCATTATGGATTATGATATGGAATAATGGACAAGAATAATCCCAACTATTAATGATTTGCTTGAAATCATCTAAAGTATCAATTATTTTAAAATAATCCCAATTGTTGAAAAATCTTCTCAAAATACTTCACTTACATGTAAGTATTACTCCCTCCGTCCCTTTTTAATTAAACAAACACTATTTTTCAAGTCAATGTTGTTCAACTGTGACTAGACTTGTCAACGGGTCGGGTACGGGCCGGAACGTAGTATCCCAGACCCGGACCTGTCAACGGGTCGGGTTTGGACCTGGACCCGACCCATTGACAGGCCTAATTGTGACCGATTATATATTTATACACAATTATATTAATAATATGAAAACTATATGAAAACGTTCGTTGTTAAAAATATACTACAATAAAAGTATAATTTATTAACTTTCACATAAATATATTAATTAAAATAATGAATCAAAGTTTATCATCTTTGACTGGAAAAGTCAAAGATGGCTAAATAAAAAGGGACAGAGGTAGTATAAGTTATTTACGGATAATTATAAGTCAATGGAGTATTTTGAAAAGATTTTTCAATAGTTGAAATTAGTTTGAGATAATTGATACTTTTGATTATTTCAAGTACATCACTAATAGTTGGGATTATTCTTGTTCATTTTTCTCTTATGATACTAAACGAAATCAACATTTCAAATGTTATAGTTTTAGAAGTAAAAAACTACTCCGGATGGTAGCACTACGTTATCTAACTTGGCAAATTTTTATCATACACGTTATCTTTTATGTGCACAAATGCACAATGTGTTAATAGAAAAGTGACTTTTATGTACACATTTTTTAGGTTGTTAATTACAGAGAAATTTTCCCAAAATAGAATAACAAGAATGTGTCATAAAAAGTACTATGTACTACTCCCTCCGTCCCACTAACAATGAGACAAGAGAGAGTGACACACAAATTAATAAAAAGTAGTTTATGTGGTTGATTTTGAATTGATAAAGTAAGAATAAAGTAAGAATGATTTAGAATAACACAAACTTTACCAAATGGTATGCGACAATCTTAATCGGACGGATCGATAAGGTAAAACGGGACAATCATAACTGGACGAAGGTAGTATATTTCTTCATAACTAGGATCTAATTATTGCATCTCAAAAGTCAAAATCGTACTGCTATACTCCCTCCGTCCCTAAATAAAAGCATCTGTTTCCTTTTCGGGCCGTCCCTAAATAAAAGTCCCCTTTCCTTTTTTGGCAAACAAAACAGTGCAAAACAGTGCAAAACAGTGCCAAACAGTGCCAAACAGTGTCCAAACAGTGCCAAACAGTACCAACCAAACCCACTTTCTTAAGATGTGTGTAAAATGAATGGATACTTTTATATAGGGACGGAGAGAGTATTTTGATTTTATTAGGCATTAACAGTTTAACACGACTAAAATAATTAATATGCGCTTAAAGTTATTAATATGTTTACGTGCAATTCAACTTTGGGCGATTTTTTTTTTAAAACGGAGAGAGTAATATTTTGAAGCATGTGAATAATTATTTAAGAAATTGACATTAAAAGTAGTAAAAATAATGCGTAATTTCAAATTAGAAGCTATAAGTTGAATTTTTTGAATAAAAGTAATTAGTGTCATGTTTAGAAAAAAAATGTTAATTATGATTATGACAATATATTACTATATTAAAGCCCAATAATGTCGAAATATGGCATTAAAATTTCAGAGTGAGACTAAATTAGTCCTATTTAATGCTACTTATGTTTTGGAATTTTAATTTTATTTATAATTTGGGGTTTATCCCTAATTACTTCTACTTAGTGTCACGTTTCATCACTTCTTTCAATTTTTTAAACACACCCTAAGACCATAATATTACTTTTATTTAATGCTACTTATGTTTTGGAATTTTACTTCTGATGGGCACACACAAATATTTAACATCACTTTTCTTATTTCACCCGTAGGTTGAATGAGATGTAATATACAAATATTATACCCATAGAAAAGTGATGATCAATCTTTTGAAAAAGGTTATCGTCTTCCTCCCTGACGTACCCTTACCCATTTTATGCATGAACAATTGTATGTGACGAGAGTCTCGAGAGTAACAACTAACAAGTCTATGTGAAATGAATGTTGCATACAAGGAAAGTTATAATAATATGTAGTTTTACTTAATAGTTTAATGGACTTACATATACATTTTTTCCATCATATCATTTTTCCATTTGATTTTTACTATTTATTTCTTAGTTTACTATTACAATGACTCTTACTTTGAAATTTATTTAATATTTTGAATTTATAGGATCACTATTAAGTCTTTTTTTGCTTTTATATAATTGCGTCTAAACTATAATATAGGTACTTCACTCCCGTGCAACGCATGGGTGGAGTAACTAGTTATTATTCTAATAGTGTTTACTTCGCCGCTAAAGTCACAAATATGTTAGTAAGACAGGTTAAGCAAACACGCAAGCTGCTTAAAAAGCCGCTTACTAACCGAAAGAGGTGCTTAAAGTGACGCTTACTAAGCATGTCACCCCTCATGTATTAATTAAGCGACACTTTAAACCTTTTTAGTTTCCGAATTTACCCTTACCCCTTGCCCTTACCCCCCCTATTGTTACCCCCATATGGTTAGGCATGGGCCGGGGCGAGACTGGGGGTTTGAGATGAAGGCCCGGTACCGGCTCGGGTTGGTGTCGGGACCGGGTCCGACCGGGCTACCCGGCCAGGTCTCGGGTCGGGTCGGGTGGGGTAGAGCTTTTTTTTTTGATAATTTTGTTTAAAAATTAATTCAACAAGTGCTAGACAATAAAAAGTTAAAGTATATTTATTTGAAATATGAACTACAATTGAGAATTGAGAAAACTTTACAACATTAAATACATTTCCTAAAAATCAGTCGAAATCTGTGGCACCGTCTGTTGTTGTTTCCTCCATGATGTGGCGGATGGGGGCGATGCTAACTTCTTGAGTTCTACGTTGGGCCTTCAACCAATCGTGGAAGCAAATAAGCGTTTCAAGAGATTTTGCACTCAATCTCGTTCTATAATCCGTTAGGACGTTGTCGGCCGCACTAAATTCGTGTTCCACACCAACTGTTGATATCAACATTGATAGCACTTGCTTAGCTATCTTTGATCAAATCGGAAATGTTCTTTCTTTGTCCTTCCACCACTGCAGAATGTCAAAGTTATCCCTATCTAGTCAACAGAAAATGTTAGATATAATGAAAGCTTGTTAATCGAGCTTTGGGCAACAACAGGAGTTGATTTACTTTTTTCATTAGATTGCCAAATGTATATTTTAAAAATGATTTTCCTTGAGATGAAGAAGATGTTCGTGTCTGGGGAGGTGGTGTGTTACCATATTGTGAATGAAACTCATTATATAATTGATGAAATAAGTTACTAACCTCATTGTATTGCTCTTTAGGATCTATGGACTTATCTTCGTGCATAGGTAATGGACCAAAAAAGAAGCATAATAGTACTCTAAACAATTTTAAAAAACATTAAGTTTAAAACGAGGATTAAGAATAAATGCAATACCATATATATGCAGAATATGTGAATAATATTTTAAAAACTTTTCTTTTATGAAAGAACAAAAATAATGAACGTAAGGGGCTTCGGAAATTCAGAAAAAGCATCGGCGAGATTAACGGCTTCAACATAAAATTGGTTTGCGGTAGG